CGACGGATCCCTGCTCGAGGAATCGGGAGACGAGTCTTGGAGGTCGAGTGACCAGATCATGATGGTAGAGTCGCACCCTACACTCACGACCTTACGGCTGCCATCCTCGTCCTCGATGAGGGTTATGCCTTTAATAGCCTCGGTGTGACCCCACTCACGGTCCAAAAAGGCCCCGGTCTGCCCGTCGTATACACGCACCGACTTGTCCGTGTTAGAAATACCAAGGAGGAAGTCCTTGTTGGGGCATTTGCCCAGGATAAGAGAGTCAAGAACGGCAGACTCGATACCGCTCTCATCGATGCACTTGAAAGACTTAATCAGTCGGCCAGTCATGACATCATACTGGCAGATCGATCGATCTAGTAGTGAGACGAATACAGACTCATCAGTAGGACCCATCGTCATACATGTGGGTGATGCCTTTAGAGTAATAACTCGTGAGGGGATTGCTGCTATGGCATCGGGTTGGCCCTCCTTCGAGACGATGTCGTGGACCTGCAGTGTCCGGTCGAGCGAGCAAGTAAAGATTTTTTCTTCGGTGATGAGGACCTTGACGACTTTGGCCGCAAACTCCAGAGTCTGAAAGTGCTCAATCTCGCCACTGGCTGTGGGTCGGTGAAAGAGCTGAGTGGTGCGATCCCTGCCGCAGGAAGCCATGATGAAACGATCCCCATTCTCAAATATGGTAACATCCTGGCAGTCGCATGAGTGCGCCTTAGTATCGAGAACCGACATCTTCGTCTCATAGTCAATGCCTCTCAAAACACCAAGTCTATCCGCATAAACTATGAGGTTTCCAGACTTGGTAGATTCCACAACAGTTACTTGATTTTCGAGATCTAGCTCGGACGCGACACTGTTCTTCTCGATGGGCAAGTTCATAATAGACTTTGCCCTTCCGTCCAGGTCCCAATGAATCAGTTTGCCCGAGGCAGACCACGTCATGAATGCGGCATCCGCGGGATTGGGCTTTGAGAGGAGTTGGACACCGACAATGGGTTCTCCCTGGCCGGGAATCGGAATGCTTGCAGGAGCCTCCGTGGCTGTTCCAGGAAGATACGACGGACCCCAGACATTGATCGAGTGCTTAGTGTCGATGGTGACGAGGTTGTCGTCCTTTAGAAAGCCGAGCGCAACCAGGCCTGGCGATGTCTCCGTCTTGCTTATCAGGCAATCGGACCGGAAGTCGACAATTGAAGTCACGTTGAGCGTTGAAAACTGACCGGCCTTGCCTCCTACATAGGCTGTGAGGTCTCGGAGGGTGATCGAACTGATGGGGAAATCAAGACGGAGAGCTTTTTGAAGCTTCATTTGCTTGCCGTCGTCTTCTAGGACACACACATCGCCGGCCTCAGTGCACAGGATGGCCCGTCCATCATCGACAACGGCAGCACAGGTAAACGTGGAATCGATCAGGGAACCCAGCAAGACGTTGCGGCCGGGAAGAGCTTTCTGCTGGCTCTGAGGCGTAGAACTGGGGTCAGAGCCGAATTTTGGTTTCACCGGAGATACGGATGACTCCTCGACCTTCCACGCCTTTACGTGCCGAACGCCGAAAGTGATGAGATGGTGTCCCATCCACACCATTCCTTTACAGAACGAAGTACACCTGTTCTGCTGCGAGAGTTTCGCTGCACCGGTTCGAGGGTCGATCCTCCAGATGTAGAGGAAGCCATCATTAGCGGCGCCGAGCGATGCAAGGAATCGCGTATCGTGAGACCAGGCGACCGTCTGGACGCCGAAGGTATGTTCACTGATGGACACTAGAGGCAGATCGGAGGAGTTGTCTTGCAGGCTGTAGATGAGAACACGAGGACAGTAACCGGTCTCGCCCACGGCGAGGAACTTGGCATCCCTGCTCAGGGCCAAGCATGTCGCTGCCTTAATGCGCTCACGGCTCGTCCATGTCTTAGAGGTGGGTGATTCAGACCAGTGATCGGACACTCCGTACGGCGAGTCCCGAAGCCCAGGAGCTACCCGGTTCCGGCTGTCGTTTGCCTTGGGTGTCGATGTAGAGTTGGAGGTGACATTCTCTCTCGGAGAGGTCGCAAAAATGGGCACGGCAGATGGGCGTGCACGGTAAAATCGCTGAGAGTACTGGTCGCCATCAACCTTCACGACGACGACTGCGCCGCCCGCAATGTAGGCGAAAGAAGACTGGACGCAGTCGAAGCCGGTAGGCGACGCGCAGGTGGTTCCGACAACCCGTTTCAGGGAAAGGCGAGGTTCGATAGGGGTGTGGCGGCTGCGTAGGGGGGAGCGGGAGGATCGGTGGACGTAAGGTGAGTTGGAAGGGGTTAATCTGAGCCGATTCACGGGTGTCGAGGCCATTGCGCCATTGGCCGGTGGACAAACGAATATTTCACGATCGGGACCTTACTCGTTCCTTGGATTGGAGGGTAAAAGTAGGTGTAGTTTTCGGAAGCGTTCGATTCTGCAAGGAGTGGAGTGGCCGAAGGAAATCTGTAGGTGCGGCAATAGAAGAAAACGAATCGGAGAAGAATAGCGGGGAAGATCAACGTTTGTACTCGATGAAGGAACGCTTTTTGTTGCTCGCCGTCTCGACGGGGATAAATGATTATATGGAGCGAGTCTACTAAATCGGAGATCGAAGGAGTGAATGAAGTAGGAAGATTTCAGAATAATAATAAAAGGTCGTCGTGGGCTGCTTGTTTTCTCTCCGTTGGATTCAGTATAAACGAGTGACTGACGGAGGTGGGATGAAGTCCATCAAGACGGAGCAGATGCACGACCCTTGGAAAAGAGGCAATTGAGAAGATTAGATGTTGAAGAAGAGAAAGTCGAGATCGAAGAGAACAGCCTTGTACTCGGTCCAATTGAGAGAAGGAGGAGAAGGGGGAATAGTCTGAAGTTGGTAGGGCTCGAGCGACGTTGAAGGGAAGGAACATTGAACATTGAAGACAGGGCCCTTGATCCTGGGAGCTTGTGCGAGGAAGGAAGCAGTGGGCTCCAGCCCAAGATGTCATTGAAGTACTTCGTATGAGTATCTTCCCACTAAATTGACTTTGTGGTGTCGAAATGAAGACTTGGGTACAGATACAGCCGGTTGCTGGGTTGTCGTGCAGAAAGACATTTTCCTCAAAGTACCGGTACTTGGACGTCGTGCTGAAGTGGTGTGGTGATATTACAGAACCCCGGTCTTCAATGGTACCTGACACCGTCAGCTTGCCACTCGATGATGGTAACCCGGGAGTACCTGGAGTACTGAGGTACAGCTGCGAACCGGGGATTTTGTTTTGACGCACCCACCATTGGACAGGACCTGGTTCCCGGGGGGCAACCGGCTGAGTCCAAAGTTAAGATGGGGTCAGAGGCGGTAGGTAGTCAGGGTGATTGGTCAAACTAGCCCGCATAAAGACGCGGGCGACAATGACATTTGCTATGAGGTGAGGTTGGTCTTGGAGAATATCAGAGTGGCCTTGAACAGACTTTTTGCTCTCAAAAGTCTCATCATCTAAACTTCCTCTTCATCCATCACCCTCAAGTAGTACTACATCCGTGGACTTGTACCCCGTTATGTTAGTGCCGCTCCCTTTCAGGGTACGCTCGAGCCATGTGATGGATCAATGATTGTGCTTGCAAACTGCCAGGGTCCCGAGGCCACAGACAGGGAACTGGAAATTGTGAGTATGTGTACGAGGTATTGTACATGCACGCTGGGTGCACAATAGAGCTCTTCGTACTGCTGATTCTTATTTCGTAAGTAGTTGTACTGTTTCCAGGTCGCCCGGCGCTGTTCTCAGGGGCTTCACCCATCGTGGGGGGAAATGTGGAAGTTGCAGGCTTGCCCATTGGAGAGCTGAAATTAAAAGGCAGTCGCGATGGTGATAGACAGACGAGGTTCAAGTCCTTTAGTCACTTCGTACGGAGATATGGAAATCAAGACCGATACTTCATATTTCGTAATTCGTACGAAGGTACAATTAACTGTACTTGCAAAATCAATGCTATTATTGAATCTGCACGTCTGCTACTGATGCATTATCGTGCTCTCGACAAAGGATTAGTGAAGGGGCCCGAGCCAGACGCCATGAATTGTTCCCACTCCTGTGACCCGGTTTACTTCGTAGAGGACCACATCATTGCTCAGTCCAGGAGCTTGACCGCCGATCTCGATCTCCAGCTTAGCCTCTATTGGCATAATCTGCATTGAGCGCACTAATATGATGTTCTGTTCGCATCCAGAATGCAGAACAGATCAGCATAATAATTACAAAGCCAGAGGACATTGAAGTTGACCCTGGAGCTCGCAAAAGAGTGGGCAAGTCCCCTTGTCCAGCAGTGTAACCCTCGACGGTGCTGTGACCACCCTTGCCCCCCCCCCCCCCCCCCCCCCCAATTGTTCCCTGCCCAGACCGAGTCATTGTGTCTTTTCTAACCGTCCAATCCCACTCATTAAACTCTACCAAACACCCGGATCCCTTTGGTAATGAGAACATCACAAGAAATGAAGTCTACGCTCATGATTCAGACTCCATTAGCCGTCGGCAATAATGTCCCCTTGGGACCGACGCCTTCATCTTGAAGCTGCGATGTCCTATCTTCCCTACGGGTGAACTCAGAGCTTTCAGCTCTCAGGCTTCGTCCATGAGCAGACAAGAGAATAGGGGGTATGTTATGAGACAAGTCTCACAGATCGGCGAATACAAGATTCTTTATCACAAGTCATCGCGTCTGGGAACGAAACAAAGATGGAGAATTACTTCGGACGTCACAAAGTCCTTCACAACCCTGCCTGTCTCAAACCACGGAATCACACCCTCTGGCATCAACCATCTGTATCATCAATGCTCATCCATGCTATTAAATACAATACCGCAGTCTATGCGCTAGTTTCAACTTCCCAAATGTACCCTTTGCTTGCTCTATCAGCATCCATTCTCTATCATCAGGGTTCTCTCGTCTCTCATCATCGATAGCACCCCCAAAAAGAGTAGTAGTAGACGTAACAACTCCAAATCTCCGCCGGCGTCCCTCCGTTATACAGCCAACCCCGTCACTCCCGAATCATCTCTATCAAGCCTTTCCAGCCCCTTCCCAACAGCCCCATACACCCTCAAAGGCACCGCCACCTCAAAGCTCTCACAGGCCAAATTCTCCACCGCAACGAGCACGAGCCCTCCCTTCTCATCCCTAGACAGCTGTTCGAGAAGCGGATGCGGTTTCAGCCTCGCCTGTGCCGAGCTCTCCCTAGCAGCTAGCGGTTGCCCTTCCTCATCATCCCCTTCCTCTCCATTCGGCCGGGGCTGTTGTTGCTGCTGCCGCTGATTATTATCAGCCGGCACCACGAATTCCACCCTGACCTTCCACTCAAGACTAACACCGCTCGTAATAAACTCCGGCGTCGCCGCCACTGGTATCGTTGCCGTAAACACCACCCTCCTCGCATAAAGCGCCGCCTCCGAAGCCGACACAACCACGCGCCTCGTTACCCTTTGCACGCCAGCCTCAGACCTCATGGCGAGCGTCTGGTCGACTTTCTCGCACGTCTCGAGGTCCGAGTGTACCGCGTAGCACGGCACCTCTGCGTCGCTAAAGTCGATGACCATTGTCACCACCTCGCCGAGCCGATATGCGGGACGCGTCAGGATCACCACCGCCACGCGCCGGCCGTTCCGGGCGATCTCGAATCTGTTGGGGCTGTTATAGCCCTCGGGCGCGATGTTGCTGCGCAGGATGGCCATGTCTATGGCTTCTTTTGCCGTCGTGATGTTTTCTTCGTCGTATACCGAGGGCCGCCGAGAGTTCGGCATTGTTGCTGTGGGCGAGAGGAGGCCGCCGTGGGATCCATTTCTCGGTCGCGCGAGGAGCTCGTCAACGTAGCCAAGGAAATCGTTGAGTGTCGAGTTGTTCTGGGGTGGAGCGGACTCCCTGCTGCTGCTGCGCCTCGTATTATCCCCAACAGGTGTTATTATTGTCTTCACCTTTGCGTAGTCTTGGAGTATGATGTATGGATTCATCAGATCGTGGCCTAGAATCTCGCCGTGGCTATTAACGCTTCCGAGAACTCTAAAGGGGATCTCGACAGATCGTAGCCGTTGCTCCTTTGCCCCGCCGGCCCTTTGCGTGCCGATGACAAGGCAATATGATATCTTCATGGCTCTCCCCTTATGGCTGGGCGGGAGCCCCCTTGGTAACCTAAACGTGTATTCGAATGATTTGCTCTCCCCGGGCGCCAGTTGCAAGTCTACAAAGAGCAGACTCTGCGGGGTCGAAAGCAGGGGTATAGACTTTGAATTGGCGATGCCCCGCATAGTCTTGATGGTGCTCATCTCGCCGCCGCTGAGAAGCTCTCCCAGGGAACTGCTGATGCTACCCCAGCCAAAGCTACCCAGCAACCCGCTGTCACGCTTAGTCGGTTCCAGGCCGACGACACCACCGCCCTGGCCGTCGACAACAGCTTTCTTCTTGACCTGTTCGAATGGCGCCAGGTTCACCAGCGAGCCATCAAGTGTAAAGGATCCCTGTATGCGGGCATAGCCCATCATTATGGACTCTGGCATCAGTATGTTCGGCTGTGATATGTTGGATAGCTTCCGGAGATGTAATGGCCTCGCCGTCGAGGTGTTCCTCGACAGCGGCTGCTGCGTTACGTATTCCGACGCGAGGGTTTCTGTGGAGTTGTTGCTCATAGAATAGAACTCTCCGCTACTCCTCGGGGTGCCTGTCCCTAGACTCGTACTAGCTAGTATTCGCGCAGTCGGCGCTGCATGATGTTCAGTAATTGTAGGGATCGGTTGGTTTTTTATCCGCGGGGGCAGATCGGAGAATTCGCTCGCCATCGATTGGGGGCTCATGGCCTCGTCTAGTCGAGATTCTGTGGCGTTGCTATTTAGATCGGGAGACTGTGGCGCTGGAAATCGAAACTCGGGTATCCCGCTCGCTGGGTGCCGTAACGAGCTCGGGTTTAACGTCGAGGGGGTACTAGGGACGGTAGATGCTCCAGACGGCCGCGTATTCCTCACTTGGGAATAGGAAGAGCTGAAGGTTGGGGAGCTCACGTTTCGAAAGGACCGAGCTAGGACGAATCAGATACGTCAGAACCTCCTCTCTCTCTCTCTCTCTCTCTCTCTCTCCAAGGAGCAATCCCTCCTCCAATGAAACATACCTGAGTGAATCTCTGTCTCCACACGGGAAGACATCGTCGAAATCTGCAAACTAGCAGACCTCCCATGTCTCCTCAACATGGCCGACCTCCCCGACCCGACCTGCGTATCCGACCCATCATCCCCCGCTAATCCCGTCGACCCCAGAGACACGATTGACAGCGACTTCCTATGCCCCCTCCTTCCATCAAGCGACGACACCGCCGCCTGTATTGGCTGGTGGTTCGCCCACGCCGCCGCGCCAGCACCAAGGGGAGGCAGCCTGGGACTCGACGCCGCCGACCGATGGCCCCGCGCGCTGGGTGGATGGAGCCCCGGTCCGGCCGCCTGCGGTCTTAACCTATCTGCGTGCCCGCCGCTCGCATGCCTCGGGGTCCTTGGCTGTAGGGTTTGGGACGTTGTTGATGGGTCTCTCTGATGGGTGGGGGCGACGTTCTTGAAGGTGATGGTGCACTTGACCTCCTCGCCGGCGAAGACAGTCTGGTCGTGCCACTTTACGAAGACGCGAATGTTGCCGCCGCTCGAGTCGCGTAACCGAGACATCTCGAAGGTATGATGCTGGTGGTGATCGTCGCAGGTGGTGGTGGGCGCGGCCCGTTAGGGAGTTGGGGAGGAGTGGGGGGATTGCCTCCTGTCGGGGGAGCAGCTTGAGGCGATGGAGCTTCAGGGTAGGGGTCGGAATTGATCGAGTTAGCTGGCAGCAGCATTTCCGTATTGGTTCATGGTTGGAGAAGAGGGATGTTGCTCGGTACAGTGAATTAGGGAAGTGCGCCAGCTCCAAGGCGATCGGATCAAATGAAAGTTCCCAACTATGATGTTGGCGGATTGAGATTGAGCTCTATGGTAGGCTGCCGTCGATCCCTGAGACCTTGCTGGCAGCTCAATGTTCCAGTTGGTTGGAACAGGCTCAATCTAGATTGGTGGTACGAGGTACAAGTACAATTGAGGCTGAACACAACATAATAAGCGTGCTGCCTCAATGTAGACTTCATCGTTGCATAGTACATAGTACATTACGCTCAATGCTCTGCGATAGATTATACGGGGCATACTCGGGACAGTGGAGATTGTACTTCGTAGACCTTGGACCGCTAACCGTGTAGTGTACGAAGTACACCACACTACACTACACCGCTAAGCACACTACAATACTGTAGGATGCTCCACTATCATTCTTAGCCTGGTCCCATAAATGTAGTATCCCAGTCCGCTAATTGTCCCCATGATCCCAGACTGATTTAATCGAATCTTTTCAATCTGCAAGTGAGGCCTCAATTCTCAATGCATGTGAGGACGCCGGATAGATCAACCCGCAACTCAATCCAATTCTTGGCGATGGCAGTCAGGCGGCATTTGCCAGTATTCTTCAGGGGATTCAATCATTCAATACTCAACAAGGTTCATTTCTAAACATGTATCCATCCGAAATGCTCAATGCCATTTGACATTTCCATCTCATCAATCATAACTCATAAAAACTGTCCATACCGGCTCCTCAGATCATATAGACCTTACACCTGGCGCCGCCTGTACTTGGTCTATATCCATTGCCATTGCCATTCCATTTCGTTCCATATCTTTCTCATCTTGTTCGTCTCGTTCCTCCTTCATCAGCCGTACAGCTTTCTCAGCGGCCCTCTTCCTAACTTCCTCACGATCGACTCCATCATCCACCTCAGCTATCACAAGACCCCCAACAACCACCTTGCACGAGAACCGCTTCGTCCCATCCTGGCTCTCCTTCATCTCAATATCATAGTCCACAGTATTGTTGCCAGCCAGCGAACCAATCTCCTCTTTAGGATGCGTGACATGAACATCAGCCTCGAGGATATGATCCAGATAGCCCAAGAGGCCAAACTTGGTCAAGAATGCCTCGCACGCCTCCATCGAGCCCGAATCAACCCATACCGCACCGAGTAAGCTCTCGAAAAGGTCCGAGTAGAACTTGCGCGCCTGTAAGCGTGAGAGAAGGCCCCAAGGGTAGTTCCGTCCCGAGTTAAGCTCCTGGATAATCTGCTCACGTAGAGCTGCGTGCTTCCTCATTGCTACCTCCTGCTCAATGGCTACACCGGAAGACGAGTGCCTCATGAACGCCCACAATGGCTGTTTAAATTCACTCCTTTCCAAACTCCACCGCGACGGTCTGGGTGAAGCTTTCTCCGGCTCCTCATTCTCGGTGACATTGGCCGTCTCTTGCCAGATGCAACGCTCCATGACGAGGAAGGCTTGGAAATCGCCATTCACCATGGCCGTCTTCAGCCGGTGCATCTTCCAGTGCGGCAGAGGCGGGTCGACGTTGAATAGCCTCGAGACGACAATATGATCCAGAACGGAGTCGCCTATAAACTCCAACCGCTCCAGAGATGTTGCGGTTGGACCTATGTACGAGGCGTGGGTCAACGCCTCGATTAGTAGCGACTTCTTCTTGAACGAGTAGCCGATCAACTGTTCCACAGGTTGCAATGTTGCTGGAAGAGGCACATCCGCCTTCGCATGGTCGTGCAGGATACTGTGGCACTCCTCAACATCAAGCCATGGAAGGTCATGAAGAAGCGTGCGTAGACAGACAAGTGCCTTCGGCATGCCGCCGTCAACATAGGCAGCGGCTAGTAGGGCCTCAATTACGTCCGCTAATGTCTTCGTTGCCATTATTCTCTTGCTGGTGTTCGGATCCTCGCCCTTCGTCAGCAGCTCTTCCACCCAGATTGGGCGCCATTTCTTTCCAGTAAAAGACTTGTTCAGTATAAATTTGTCAAGTTCAAGGCTGAGGCAAGCTCTATAGAGGCGGGAGTTCGATACACGAACATCCCTGTGGAGGCTCAGGTAGCTTTCGGGGTGGTCAGGCTCTGCGACAAAATTGGTTAGGCAATGAACCTCCCGAGGACGCGGACTGGGCTAGGGAAGGGGGCAACGAAGTAAAGGATCATTCTTACTGAGCGCCGCGACATTGAACGTCGCGCACCACTTGAGGATCGAATCACCGAAGAACTCTAGCCTCTCGTAATTGTAAGGCTCGTTTGCCGACGGCGTGCTGATGGCGGCGCGAATCAGATCGGTTTTTGAGAAATCTATTTTCTTCAACACTGTGTTCGACAGCACGGTGGCAAGAAGCTGCACCTCTAGTTCGTGCATAATGCAAGGTATTGTCTGACCAAACTTCGCATGGCGGACATCGACCTCGTCGACCTTGGCCCAAGTCATAGGGAGGACCCGTTCGTATGGCTTCAAACTCTCCTGTCTAGACGATGGATGCAGGGGATGAAGGAGGTCCAATCGACGCGGCCACTTCTTCAGGCTTAAATACGAAACATCCGTCGGTGCTTCCTCGAAATCTCTAAACGGACGACGGACTGACTCGATAGGCGGCTTGCCTGGCAAGAGGTCGCCAAATAGAAAAGGGTGGTCGAATGGATCCCTGATGAGGTAGTGACCCTGTCTGATATCCGAATTCGTGCTGTCGAATTCTCGGCTCGCGATCTGGGTTAGAGAAAGGTGGTCACCCTTGGCATGGAAGCCAATAATGTGCTGCTTGTACTCTGGATTCCATTTAAATCGATGCCGAAACGGTACGCTCAGTAGAGCTACCGTATGGTCGGGCGGCTGAACTCCATCAAGAGCCCCCTTCTCCCGTGGCATGGGCCGGCCGATCTCTACTGCCCATGGGCCATTGCTGTGCTCGAAATATAGTTTTATGCATGGTGGCGGAAGAACCTCTTCAGGAACCGTCATGTCATACTCCGCCAAGATCTTTCCTTGGTCATCCCGTAGAGCAACGAGGTGGGTCGAAAGTGTTCCATCGTCCCATGCCCTTGCAACCTGACCCCAAGGAGATATCAAGTCACTGACCTCAATCTTCGCCTCTCTAGCCTCGATCTTTTCTTCCTGGCCTTCGCGGAGAGGTAGAAGGTTATCATTGAGCAGACCTGCCTTGAACAGTCCGCTGTACGCTTGGAAGGCAGCGTCCTTCGTCGCATTTTTCTGAGATAGCCACTCTCTCGCGCTCTCGGCTGTTCGTACATGGATAGGGACATAAGTCGGCAACACAACCTCTGCCGAGAACCGAGATATACCCCCCTCGGAGACCTCGTGGAAGATGTAATCTGGGCGTGAGTCAATAAACTCTCCAGGTGAGAGGACGCGACAGAAGTGGTCCAGGTGTTGCTTAGCGTTGTCAAGATTAATAAACGCACGCTTGTCACTGGTGATAAGAAACTCGTCGGCGCCGTATGGTTCGGACTCCTCCAGCTCAGCCCACCTAGCGTGTTCCCGGTCCTCGGCCTCGTATTGTTTCCTCAATTCGGTTTCAAGTGACTCCCAATCCCGGGGAAGGTTGGACGTCGAGTCGACAAGAAGAATCAAATCCGAATCTTTCTTCCGGGCTCGACCACGTCTTTGGACAAAAGATTTGAGATTCCTTGGACTGTCAAAGCAGAGGACCATGTTGCAAGCTGGAACATCAATACCCTCCTCCAGGACGCTCGTCGCAACCAAGAGGTCAATCTTGCCCGTGCGAAATCGTTCCAAGTCGGCGGCTGGCTTCTTCCCCTGATGCCACAAATCAAGAACATCCCGCTTCCGCCCCGCAAAGGAAGACACGCCTACCATGGTTCCAGCTTTATACTTGTTCCTTGTCAAAGGGTGGATGGAGATGAGGTGTGCGAGGAGGGGAGTTTTGATACGTTCCTCTGCGAAGAGAATGCCGACGGTATCGCCTTTCCTAGAATTGAGTTCTTGCAGAAGTGCCAGAGTCTTTTCGGTGAGGCCGGCCGGTGAAAGCAGCTGCTCCTCCCTCGTCGACTGGTAGTCAGCAACGACACTCCTTAACTTCTCTGCCAAGTAGTCTCTCTCCCGGATTACCCAATCCTCAAAAATAATCTTGCCATCCAAGATGGAGAGAAAGCGCCTGATCGTTTCAGTAACGAAATATTCAACCGCCCATGGACCTATCTCCTTCAGTAGCATCTTCGTGGTTCTTATGAGAAGACGGAGTTGGTTCTGGACAAAAGTATCCCCTTTGGAGCGCGCCTTCTCTAGATTTTGTTTACTCCTCGGGCCTTTTTCGGTTTTGAGACGCACGACGTAGGGGTCGTCGTTGATATCCATCCCCTGGTACACTTCCTCGAGACGTCTTAGGAGTGGAGGGATGTTGTTGTCAACATTTAATAGGCTGCACGGCGTGTACAGAACAGGCTTGAGCTGAGGCCGCTTAACCCGGGCGAGAAGTTCATCTCGGTGGAGAGTTGGGCCCTTGCATATAGCATCCAGCGTACTCTCTAGGGTCAAGAGGTCTTTTGGCTTCGAGGTCATGCTCGGGCTCGCAGTGAGTCCTAGAATGTGTGGGACCGGCAGCTTATATTTCTTGTAGAGGTGATATCTGTCCATGACTTTCGCTCCGGGATGATCTTTGACGCAATTATGGGCTAACTCAAGTCAGCATTGTTCGTTTCTGGATATTCATCGCACAGCAAATTTCTGTGTTCTCTCACCTTCGTCAAAGACAATGAGAGCCACAGACTCCATCCTGACAAATGCGTGGGTTAAGGCCTCAAGAAGAACCTGGTAAGTGGCGACGACGATCTTCACATTCATAAGAAAACCATTCCAAATAGCCTCAGTTGACCATGTCTTGATATTTTCCTCTCCTGTTAACAGCTTAACCTGCACAGAAGATATTTGGGTCTGAAAGACTTCAAGTTGTTGTTGACAAAGTGCAACGGTTGGTGCAAGGAACCAGATCCTCTGTTTTTCGGTCAATTCTAAGCAGGCCAAAGAATTAATTAACAGGTTGCTGACCTTGTGTTCTGGCATATCTTCGAGTGCCTTCTTCATTCTCAGGATTGCACTGCACATATCACATTAGTCTGGATCTGGCTGCCCCCAGGTGGATTACTTCAGGATACTCACACTTGAGTCTTTCCGCTTCCGGTGTCCATCTATCGCCGCCCACGGTGTCAGAAGAAGTTCAAGTAAGGGTCTTTAGCCTCAACATACCACTACAATAATGTTTCGCCGCATACTCTCGGCGAACATCTCGAGCTGGTACGCTCTCGGCGCCATGACGACGACCTTCGACGGGGAATCCTCTTTCTTTCCAAATTCAGGGAGAAGCTCATTGGCTTCGATCTCCTTCTCGGCAGCCTCGACGATGATTTCTCCTTCCTCCAGAGAGATGTCAGCCTGGAAAGCTGAGAGACGGGGGGAAGTATCATTGTCACTGAGCTCGCTAGCGCCGCTGGAGGAGGACGAGTCTGTGTAATCCGCCATTTGCGGTTTTTGAGGTAAGGGGTGGACTAATTAAAAAAATAAAAATAAAAATGAAGGGCCGGCCGAGAAAGGCCCCGGAAGTGACTCAAACTCGGAACGTAGCGGAGCCTAAGAGTGGCAATGCAGGTCGGCTTATTGTCGCATTCCCATGGAGCGGGTGGGCCTAGATCGAGTGGGCATGGAACTATGGGAATCGACTCGGGACCTTGCTGGTGTGTTGGCGTATTGAGAATTTTGCTAGGGTAGGCGCTTGCCCTTCGAGTATTTTCTATGCAAGTCACACGTCGTCGACCAGGCAGACTCGATTCAAAAGTTCCGGAGGAGCTGGCTAGGAATATTGAATATATATCGGGCTCGAGATGCAGGAGGCCGACCACACATGAAGAGCGGGGCGGAACAAGGACCCTGCAAGCAAGCCAAATCCATTAAACTATAAACTTGCCAGCTTGCGGGACTGTGATTCGCATACGAAGTAGAAATCAGCGAGATATTCTTTCGGTATTGGTCAGTCGCCCATGCAGGCCTTGTTGAGACCAAACCACAAACCGCGAGGCGCCACCAAAAAGAGGCCCAGGAGGCCTGGCAGGGCAGGCTCTGGGTGAGAGCTGCCCATCTCGAGGGGTACTTCCGCACCGGCCAAACGGATCAGGTCAAGGAATGCAGCTATGAAGAAGAGCACAGAACAACATGTAAGGTGAATCACAAAGAAATCAGAAACAAAAACTAGCGGTGATGACGGACCAAGCTCGAAGAAGGGAGTCCAGCTTCTTGGCATACAAGCAGATACTCGTGCCCCTCTAGCTTGAGGCTCCAAGCTCCTCGAGACTATAGAGCAACCAATCGGATGCTGACACTGGCACTCGAGGATTCCTTCGACAGGTTCATTTTCAAGATCCAGAATACGCAATGGATTTGATGCCTCGAGGTTTGGGTTGACACCTCAAGATAAAAAGAAAAAAAGTTCCTTAGGGGTCATGCCTGCCTCCCTGTGTGACACCAGCACAGTTCACTTGTGATAAAATTAGGTTTCTGATCTCAGGAAGGAGCCAGCGAGAAAGAAAAAAAGTTCCGATTCACTCCAATTTTGAAGTTTTCCATGTACACAGATTGCATCCAATTACCCAACAATTAAATACACCTACATTTATACCACGCCCCGGGATCTTTTGACTGCAGGTCAAGAATAAATCAATAGTTTATCCTTCCATTCCTTTGTGGCCTTCTTTGGACGAGACAACCATCCCACCACTCCCGTGCGCCAGTTTGTTTGTTTGCAGATTGGTGATTGACTCTCAGGTCATGTCCCATGCCCCTCCTCAATCTGGACTGATGATACATAAACAGAATAGGCAACAGGATTAACACCCAATTGTCTTCGACCTCTGAAACGAAGGTTCTTTTGTTAGTCCCAACCGAGTCTTCGGGTCTGCATACACGTGTAGCCGCTGCGGTTTCCGGCCTATATACGAACCCGCTGCGTGGTTCGACGGCCTGTCAAAGGAAGCACCCTCCGATCCCTCGCCGAGAAGGGGGGTCTAGGCGTGTTCTCCCGCTGTCAGGATGGAGTTACATGCCGCTGGTTTCAATGCATGGAACCAGTTGCATTTCGAGGCCCGGCCTGGCGAAGTTACTGCGGACTCCGAGCCGGACGACATTAGTTCCTTCACTCGAGTATTGGCCGCGGGGGATATTGGAATCCCTGTCTCCGGCTTGTCTTTTACCCTGGGTATGCTTCCCGAGGCAAGGGCTGTTTGGCCAAGGACGTCATAGGGCTTTTTGAACCGGGTCTCTAATTGGAGAGTATAGTCGAGACGCAGGGTGGTAAGATAGTGGCAGCTGGTTTTCTTGAGGGAGATGCCAGCGAGGTTAGTCTACGCCAAGCCTATCATTCCGTGACGACCGCCACCGGCGAGACCCTTCTAAACTACGGTATGTGCCACCGGTAGATTCTAGAGCCTGTTTGTAAAGAATGTGAGGGGCTCATGACAAGTACGCCCTTTGCTCAGAGGTCAAGTGTTCGGATATCGCTAGTGGCTCGCAAGGCTCCGAACTCCAGTCTCCCTTACGCAGCCAAAATGTGCAGCAACTGGCTGCTTACGACACTGGCTTCGTCGCCCTACTAGACGACGGCTCCGTTTGGGTAAAAGGCGATGAGCGATTCCCAAACTGCCTTGCCGTCAACCCGTAAGCCCCATCCCCCACACACCAACGAGATGACCTCATCCCTTTAGATAGGAGCCTAATATCTCATAGAGATGAAGAACGGACCCCTGGCTCTTGGAATAGGATTCAGTGGCTTGATGACCTACCGACAGGTCCGATTGTGAGGATTGCAGCTGGAGGATACACCCTTGCAGCTCTCACAGAAGGTGGAGACCTCTACTGCTGGGGCGGACGGCCATCTCAGCAGCCCCTGTTTGAAGGCCTCTCTAATATGCCAATTCCTGTAGACGTCGCTGATGGCGATGTGAAAGATGTCGCATTAGGCGAGCGTCACATCATAGTGCTCACAGTAGATGGCCATGTTCTGGTCCGGGGCTCCAACAAGAGCGGCCAGCTCGGACTCGGGCAAGATGGTCCCACTAGGGTCGAAGATTGGAAGAGAGTCGAAAACGTTCCATGGAATACTAACTGGGACATCGAACGGGTAGCGGCCGGTAGTAAGGCCTCATTTATCATTACCCGCAGGGCTGGTGGAAAGTAAGTAGGCAATTCATCACGGGATTACAGACAACATCCCTTTACGTTTGTCTATGATACAGTAGTCCATTGGGGACGAACAAGATCCATAAGCAACATTCAGGCCAATTATAGGTTGGTAAGGTAATCGTCGATCTCCTGAGGGGTCAGCTTCCTGAAGCGAGGTCCCTTTGCACCCTCAACACCCTCAATTCCGAGCAGATGGTCCGCCGGAGGACCAACAATGCCTGAAAAAACTTGGTTAGCATGCATTTGCCAAGTCACAATGCATCCCACCCCAAGGGGCTTAACTCACCAATCTCAATCGTCTCTCCGCTCATCTCACCCTCAATGTGCTCCTTCAGGGTGAGAAGCGCAATATGGATGGCATCCTCCAGCTCGAGGTCCTCCGAGTACCTCTTCTCCAAGAAAGTCTTCGCCTGAGGGGCCGCCTTGCCGATAGCGGTCGCCTTCCAGGGGAAATAACTTCCCGAGGGGTCTACCTGGTAAAGCATAGGGCCGCCCTTAAGGATACCACCAGTCTTGCCCGACAACTTCTTGTCGCCGAGTTCGGTGCTCCTCTCCTCAATCTCCTCATCAGGAAGAATGCCCTCATCCCAGCCGGCAACGAGGAGACTGACACCGTACGGCCGTACACCACCGGACTGCGTAGCTTCCTGCATGACCCTCGCCACATCCTGCACTAATATTCTGGTCGGGGGGTATTCGTTGTAGATGCGCTTGTACGAAGAATGCGAGACCTTGCGGGCGCGATCTACCAGGACTCTGTAGTCGGGTCCCATACCGGCGTACACCATACCGATGTTGGGCGTTACGAGGCTGATCTTGGAGAGGGAGCTCGGGTCGGCAAGCGGGGACGAGGACTTCTTCTCGGTCGCGAGGACAATGCCATTGGTAGCTTCTTGATGTTAGCACATGCCAATAATTCAGAGCGGATGCGATGGTGAGCTCATACCCTTGATTCCTACTGCGGTGACACCCTGGTTCACGGCATTGAGGGCATACTCTGTATTGATAGGTCAGTCGTCGGAGCTTGAGAAGGCATCGCCATCGTTTTTCAAGACGCAATATAGTTGTATTTTAACCTACCAATCTGTACCAGTTTCCCACTACTACTAGTCAGTAACTTGTTCAAGACAAACGTGGTGAGGATGGGTTGCCTACCTTGGGGAGAAGGTGGTAAGGGAGAAGTTATATGCCATGGTTTCTTATTAACGGTCTGCGACTAAATGTCCGTTGTATCGCAAGGTAAGTTGAGTTACAGCAGGGGCTGGCTCAGATGCCTGGTGGTCGAGGAAGTTCCGATTGTCGTGGAGTTCAAGGTCGAGGAGATTCAAACAAGGCTGGAGGAGCTCTGGTTCCCATGAGCAACAGATGTCGCAGACTTGAGCTCTCGTCTTCAGGCACCTCAGAGGTGCGCGTCAGTGCTGAGCTCTCTCAGTACGTATTCATCCACGTGATATTACAGCGCTTGATTAAGTAATCAAAATCACAACAAAAACTGCATTGTGAGTCGAGCCCAAGCTGGAATGACAGGGGATTTTGATTGTCAGCCAATTATTTTCTCGAAACTGGTTTAGACACTGTGAGCTTTGTGTGCTTCGCCGATTAGCACGAGGCCACGTTTTCGGCTTCCTCCCAGTTTAAAGGCCTTCGGACTGGAATGGCGTGAACATCTAATGCCTAAAGTGTAGTATTCATGTTTTGTATTTTCTTTTACACAAGGAATGTCCTAATTGTTCAGGTAGGGCATACAGAGCAAAAGGAGGGAAGGAGTGTAGGTCTATATCTTCGGCTCAGAATCCTCGCACTTTTCTACATCTTGCTAACCTGTTGCCGTCAGAGAACCAAGCTTATACAGCATACCTTTACTTGTCTCGATTACTGACTTCAGACGATGGAACCCCGAAGCATGCCCGGTTTCTTTCCCCAGGGTCCCTCCGTCGCCGCCGACGATCCTCCACCACGCGGAAGGGCCCCTCAGCCCGCCCAAGATGCACCATCCCAAGGGAACCAGCGACCAAGAACCTGGCGTCCCCGGACGTGTCGGATATGCCTTGAAGTTGTCCACCCAACATTTCCAGAGACCTTGGGAACGACCCTTGGGCTGCGGGTCAACCCAAAGCCGGTGTACATGTCCGAGGACCCCGAACTAGGGCGGCTAATCTCGCCATGCACCTGTAAAGGGTCGCAGAAATATGTTCACCAGGGATGTCTCCAGGCATGGCGAGACGCGGATCCTCTGAACAAGAGGAATTACTTTCACTGCCCTACCTGTCATTTCAAGTATAGGCTAGGCCGCATGTCATGGGCGCGTTGGGTGAGCAGTGAAATAAGCCAGTTTATCTTGACCATCGTCATAGTCATTCTGGCTGTTTTCCTCCTTGGATTTATAGCGGATCCCATTCTTGATCTCTGGCTCGACCCTGTTTCCACAATCGCAGATACAGTATCAGGTGTTGGCTCAGATGAACCCGCTTTTGAGTATATGGATGAGCCGGGCGGATGGATCGAGCATTTCGTCAAGGGTTTCTTTTCCTTGGGCGTCGTGGGATTCTTGAAGGTGTTCTGGTCCATGTCTCCCTGGCATTGGTGGAATCTCCGCACTAGTGGTGTCCTGAACGCCGGTACCCGCAGGCCCGGAGCTACCGGTCGAGGAAGAGTGGAGAATATCAGTTGGGCTGTGGTCCTTATTGGCGCGATCACAGTCATATACTCCCTTTGGAAAGGAGTCCGATTCGTGAGCAGGCGAACTCTTCTAGCGGCGAGTGACAATGTTCTTGATGTGGGAAAGGACGATGACGATGATGACGATGAGCCAGCGAACGGAGGACATGAACATCAAGAGTAGCCCGTCGGTCTCTCTGGGGTTTTTAACACTTGGCTTACAACCACCCCCCAAGAGACGATGAAGAAGCCTAATACTAAATGGCGGCCAGTGGCCTTGGAATTACTGGCCGTCTCTAACTCACTCCCCTTTATCTCCTCTCTATATCTCCTCTACAACCCGCACCCTCTTAAGTTGCCTTGGACATCTCGCCTCCGTTCCTCGTCAACTAGTCTGCGTGCGGAGATGAAAGCCCCGAGTTTGACAATAGATGGTCGTGTCGTTTTGACATGGCTATCGCATTTTGCTCAACTTGGGCAGGTCAACATCTGGTTTGCGGAAGATGACCCCGTCTTTGCGGGGGAGGACTCTCTTGGAACGCATTCTCAGCCTGTGGATACCCTGTGTACGAAAACACAATGGGCTGAGCCGGCCAGTTTGATACATGTTTGTTGATGTATGATTATCCGTTGTTTGTTTCCTTTTTTTGTTGGGAGTCTGAGCGATTACCCTTTCTTTGTACGATGACATTTCCTCTGGAATGGGAGAAGAGTGGAAACAAACAATATCCACGCAGAATTTAGTGTCTAGAACCTCGCAATTCCCCCTGCATTGGGGTATTAGGTGATTGCTGTCCGACAACCCCGAGACATTTTATACGACTCTTGCGGCGAGGTGATCAATGACCAACCACTTCACTGGAGTATACCAGCATATTAGATCACGTGCAGTCAACTACCCAGGGGCAATAATGATCCAAAATAGTACGAAGGTACCTCGCCGACCCAAGGAAAGCCACCAAGAGAAAAACGGCCTGGTCCAATAGAAGGTGCAAGAAGGCCAAATTTAGCGTGCTGTTCAGTGTTAGAGAACGCCGTTGTGCCATAACCAATTTAATTGCCTTGTTCTACGCGTTACCCCTGTATCGATATCTCAATACGGACTTCGTATCTCCATCTCTATCTCGATAATTTTGACCTCGTTGTCGTTCCCACTTTGGAGGACGCTTGGTGATGCAGCGGCGGTGTAGGCGAGGATTATTGAGTCTACCATTCATTTAGACCTCCGTCCGATCATCAACAGGATTGGCGATACTCCAAGGAGTCTAGTTTCCGCTCCATCGAATGCCTTATCATCGACGAAACGAACCTCTTCTCCCTTCGACACCCATTCGTTTCGAACAATAACGACGATTTTCACACACATCTCACCCAAAATGCATTTCGCATACCCTTCGCGAAAAGCGTCGAATCCACCGCCCTTCAAACCCCGCTCCTCGCGCTTCCCGGTTCTTCTTCGCAAGGGCAGACTACGGACGATAGCGCTCTTCGGCGTCGCCGTGCTCTTCCTCCTCTACCTCTTCTCCGGCGGCTCGAGGCAAAGGACGAAATCGCGACATGTACCCAGCGGGACGCCGCCCGTGGTGATGGTTACGGTTCTGGATAGCGCACATGGGCTGCCTTACATGGAGACGGTCAGGGAGAACCGGATAAGCTATGCCAAACTACACGGTAAGTTTTCGGGAGGCTCTCTTTGTTGCTCTTCACCAAGCCTGAGCGGATAACTGACCGGTGGATGGTATTCGTACTCGCAAACAGGCTACGAAACCTTTTTCGTACATGTCGGAGATTACGACCTTCACGGCTCAGCTATGTCCTGGACCAAAGTGGTCGCTATGAGGCACGCCCTGAACAAGTTTCCCGACTGCCAGTACATCTGGTTCCTCCACCAAGATGCCTTCATCATGAATCCCAAGATCTCCCTGCATAAGGATATACTGGCTCCCGGGAAGCTCAACGAGTTGATGATGCGCAACCAGCCGGTCGCTCTTCCGGATAGCATCATCCATACGTACCAGGCGCTCAAACCCGACAATGTTGACCTTGTGGTCACGCAGGATGCAGGGGGAATGTCCCCCGATAGTATGGTAATAAGAAACACGGAATGGGCGGAGTTCTTCCTCGATACCTGGTACGATCCGCTCTACAGGGGCTACAACTTCCAAAAGGCCGAGATCCACGCTCTCGTAAGTCTGCTCCTTACTTTGCCTGCCTCCGGACTTCTCGAGCCGTATAGTAAGGCCAGGATAGACACTGACAAACGATGCAAACATAGGAGCACATCGTGCAATGGCACCCCACTATTCTCTCGAAGCTCGCACTGATCCCCCAGAAATTTCTCAACTCGTACAGTCGCGAGACTCTCGGGCAAAAGTATTCGGACGGCGACTTTGTGGTTCGGTTTGCCGAGTGCACCAAGACGGGGGACACGAGCTGTCAACAGGAGGCTGGCCGGTATAATGAGCTGAGACTGCATGCATTCGCTAGCGCGTGATAAGAGACACAAGTGTTTGTTCCGCAACCAGGATACGAAGGACACAGACGGAGCATGGCCAAGGCAAGCGGGAACTCTAACGAAGCAGAGAAAGTTTGGGCGAAGAGTGAACGAGGCGTTCTGAGGATTAAAAAACCACTTGTATAACATTATCTACTGTTGGGATTATATGTAATGACCATGGAAGGGTTTTTAGATATACAGGATGCAATTTGGAATTTTTCATTGTTTGGCATTGCCCCGGTGCTTTTTGGGGGTGTGTGAGGGTGGGCGAGGGGGTTGAGACGAAATGCAGCTCTTCGGCGGAATATCAGAACTGAGAAGACGATCAAGACAAGACCAGTCCAGACCACAGGGGTCCTTCACGATTTGCCTGATGCTCAGTAACTTGGCATCATCTGCTTCGTAAACTAGTTTGCAGAGCGGGGCGAAGTGAATTGTAGCAATAGTGTCAGACCATGGCCAAGACTGTAGTTCTTCCTAGATATCGGTCTCTCTGCTTCGGTAGGCAGCTCTTCTCTTCTCGTTTCTAGATTAGTTGACTTGGTACCTTCCGGGAGGGTGATGATACAGTAGTGGCCTATTGCTGTAGAACCCGCTCTTATGTTTTCCCAACACGAGTGGTGGGAAACTCCCCACAGGATGGGTAAAGCTCTCTGATCGGACATGATGCCAAATTCGGAGCCGGAGACGGGGCGAGATTCGATGTCCGGCACCCCGTTCCCGGAGGATTTGAGACCTGCGTCACCCTTTCGAATGCTGGAGCCTGGCGTGCGTGCATATAAACTAACATAATAATGCAATGCTGCGTCAATCTCGCTAAGATGGAAATCCCAATTGCATTGATCTTTCTTGCTGCACCTTCCTGGACGCGAGACGCCGCCCCCGAATGCAAGGACTTGCATCAATAGCACGCACGGTATTACGTAGTTGTCCCAAGTAGTCCGCTCGATTCGGCAAACAGATCCGATTGAGAAAAGCAGGCAGGAACGTTGGCAGCCCGTTGTGATGAAGTCGTCAACTTGGCAAGAGCAAATCTACGAAGTACTGAATACTACTGATCACAGTGAAATACTCCGTGGTCATTGCAAGCGATACGAGTTGCTCCTACCTTCCAGTCTTAGCTCGCAAGCTGCTCTCTGCATAGCGGGGTCAGTCGTAACCTTTGGAGCTTCCCCATTGGCCTCCGGAACTAAACTAAAATGCATGTGATGCAGAGAATCTCTAATCTTCCCACGCGGTCCATCAATTGATCGTCCATCATACTTGCTATAAAGGACAAAGTCCACTATTGCTAGTTCCTGCCACTCGGTAATGTCTACTTGTATGTACATATCTGCTCGTCATGACTGCCTCAAGATGCTGAGTTCTACTTTGTAGATTCCAACTTATTACCTGTCAAGACCTGCAAGTTACGTTGATGCAGTTTAGTATTAGTGGTAGCTTATACAATTAGAGAGGGGACCCCGGTTTACCTCGGTCTCAAAGCTGTCACTCCAACAATCCCAACGAAGCGAACGCTGCTTAACTCCAGAAATTGCCCTCGCTCCAATTTCCCGACTGGGGAAGTGTGGCTTTTCCCAACTTTGACATCTCTCTAACGAAGACGGACCATTCCCGCGGCCCCCGAACTTCAAAAAGAAAATGGTCTCTTAACTGCGCGACTCCCTTTCGTGCATTCCAACCTTTGCGGTGGTCCCGCTTATTGTCTTCATTCCGAACCTTGATCCAAAGGATTGGACATTACTTCGTATTCATTTCCTTTTCCCTTTATTTCTTGCCCTGCGGCCTTGTTTTCCTCCTTCTTTTGGCCCCTTGGGGAACGCGGTTCCACCAGTCGATTGTATCTCGAAGGAGAGTACAAGTAGTCGGATCACTTCTTTTTAGAGAGGGTCGATCATTCGTTCCTCGACGATCCCCAGGCCGACAATGCCGGGAACCTCGCGCATACCGGCCAGCTTAAGGGAAAGCTTCAACCAGGTTAAGAGGAGGCGCCCGACAAGTTTGGCTGCTGTCGTGAACCTTGACTTGTAAGTTTTTCAACTTGCTCCATGTCCCCGACTGTCGCAGTCGACGTGCCCCCGGATGTTGTGGGGGCCACCCTCACTACCCTCCTCACCCGCAACCAGTCGAGCTGTGAAAAAAAAAAAAGGGTCGCCTCGTCTCTGGATGCGCCTGTTTGCTTGCTTATCTGCCATGTTCATGATGCTTGCTCCAAGTTTCGGCACTCGATGCGACAGAAGAAGGAAGGAGGTGGGGGGGAGGGGTGGGATGCTCCGGCACGCAGCTTTGATTCAGAAAGACTGACACCAGTGCGCTCTTCGCGCGACCTTGCACTTGCCTAGATTTCGTAACATCATCTTTTTCTTCTTCGTCCTGCGATGGACTCGACGCGCCTTCTGGCAGCTCAGGGGCCGCGGAATAATCGGATCTCTCGTTGAACTTTACCGCAATATCGGTAGGATATTGTACGGCTACCTCCTCCGAGTCCCTGGCGTCCGCGGAAAGGTGGAAAAGCAAGTAGCCGAGGCCCTGGCCAAGACCGAAGCAAAATTGATACCCGCCGACCTACCGAAATACCTCGCCCTACCGAAGGATGGCTTGACCGACGAGGAGGTCAGGAAGGAGCTCGAGACGCTGGCAAACCTGGATCACACAAAGTGGGAAGAGGGATACGTATCCGGTGCCGTGTATCATGGAGAGGAGGAGCTCACCAAGTTGCAAACGGAGGCGTTCGGCACATTTACGGTCGCCAACCCGATTCACCCCGACGTCTTCCCAGGCGTAAGAAAGATGGAGGCGGAGATTGTGGCCATGGTGCTCTCGCTGTTCAACGCCCCTCCTGGTGCTGCGGGAACGACTACGGCTGGCGGTACTGAGAGCATTCTTGTTTGCTGTCTTGCTGCGAGGCAGAAGGCTTATGCCGAGAGGGGTATTACGGAGCCAGAGATGTAAGTGCAGGCAGTCCGCACGAACTTGTTTGCGTCCTACGAATCACGAGGGGGCTCTCGCTAATATGTGTGTCTACAGGATCATCCCAGAGACTGCACACGTTGCCTTCCGAAAGGCAGGTGATTATTTCAAGATCAAAGTTCACCGCGTGGCCTGTCCAGCCCCCGACTACCAGGTTGACATCAAGGCAGTCCAACGCCTCATCAATCCCAATACTGTCCTTCTTGTCGGTTCTGCACCTAACTACCCCCACGGTATCATTGACGACTTTGCAGCTCTCTCGAGGCTTGCTCTTAAGCGCAAGATCTGGCTCCACGTCGACTGCTGCCTCGGTTCGTTCGTCATGCCTTACCTAGAGAAGGCCGGTTTCGAATCCCAGCCCTTTGACTTCCGACTCAAGGGCGTGTCAAGCATTAGCTGCGACACCCACAAGTACGGCTTCGCGCCCAAGGGCAACTCCACGGCGCTGTACCGCTCGGCCGAGCACCGATCCTACCAGTACTACGTCTCACCAGACTGGCCGGGCGGTGTCTACGCATCCCCGGGTATAGCCGGATCGCGACCCGGCGCCCTCATCGCGGGCTGCTGGGCTAGTCTTGTCAAGATGGGCCAGAACGGCTACCTCGACGCGTGTGTCAAGATTGTCGGTACGGCCAAGAGCATTGCCCAGAAGATTCACGAAACGCCCTCCCTCGACAGCGAGCTCGAGATCCTCGGCCGGCCCCTCGTCTCTGTCGTGGCTTTCACCTCGAAGAACCTGGACATTTACGACATCTACGACGGCATGACGGCCAAGGGGTGGCATCTCAATGCTCTCCAGGACCCACCGGCCATCCACGTTGCCGTTACGATGCCCATCACCAAGGTATGGGAGAAGCTCATGTCGGACCTTGAGGCCGTCGTCGAGGCCGAGAGGGAGAAGGAAAGGGCGAGGATCGCGCAGGGCAAGGGCGCGAAGAAGACGGTGGGCGATTCTGCGGCCCTTTACGGAGTTGCGGGCTCGTTGCCAAACAAGAGTGTCGTCGTGAATTTGGCGACGGGTTTCCTCGATTTGCTGTACAAAACATGATGGAATAGGGTCAGGATTAGGTCAATGTCAGAACTGGAAGTATCAATTCCTCTTTGTTTTATTTATTTATTTTTGTATGAAATAACAATTTTTATCACAGGGGCAGAGGATGAGTCTTACTCGCAATGATGCTAGTGGTCTCCTGTTTTTTTTTTCTCAGTGATATAGTTATTCGAGTATCATACAATTTGAACCTCTACGGATGCAAACCCCTTCTTTGTGTTGGGTTGCGGTCTTTCGCTCGTGAGTTTCAGTCGATGAGGCGGAAGTGAACTGAGGCACAAGTTTCCAAACTCGAGCTGGTCCGCCTGTTCTTCGCCACGTCATTTACAACAGCACACATGTGCCTTTTATGCAGAAAGGGAGGAGACTCCCCGCAAACCGGCGAACTCCCCCTTCAGTTGAGAAACAGCAAGCCCCAGGATTATGTGTTGCTTTTTTTCTTTCTTTCTTTCTCAGGCGTAACGACGATGGATCTTGTTGCCTGATTCTTTAGCAAACATCTTTTCTACTCGAAGATGAGTACAAAGTAAGGAAAAGAAATGTATGAGGCTCAGAGGGGAACACGCGACTAGGCAACGTTCCACGGTAAAAAAAAAAAAAAAAAAAAAAAAAAAAAGGGGGGGGGGAGGGGGGGCGTAGAAGGACGCATGCGGCCGCTGCGGTGGATTTGGAAGTTTTCAGTCTTGTTTGTTCATGAAGAAGTGAAATGGAAGTTCTTCGTGTTCCTGGTTCAACCGGGTGAGAGGGTGAAGTGAAGTCCCGGTGCGAGTCTCTTTTTCCTCGATGGGATTCGAGGATTCGACTTGGTGCCGGTGTCAGCAGATGAAGAGCCAGAAGCAGGCTCAGGTTTCTCGGGGGGAAGCTTGACATGTTTTGGATCCCCGAGGGAGATAAAGATTTCCGGGGCGAGAGAGGGAGGATACACTTTTCACATTGGATCGCTGGTGTAGGTGGAACTTTGTGAGAATCGGCCTTCATGTGTTTGCGATGAGCAGCGGTCTTGTGATGTAGGGAGGTAGCTCATTGGCACATTCGTCAGGCTGCGCGTCATTCTAGGCAGCTTTTGAGATGAGTGACGGGAGTTTGTTCCTCGGTGTCTTCTTGTCTCAACATCAGGCTCCGGCTTTGACTTCACAAGGCCATGATGGCTGCATACTCACGATACACTGACACCAGGCACACGGAGAGATGCCAGCCATCCCGAGAAAACAGCATCGCAAAAGTGGACTAATGGCTTGCGGTGCTCCAGCCCGGTCCTTCCTCTCACATGTGCGATCTTGCATTAGGGCTGCATTCTACGGCTTTGGGCAATTGTTAAAGTCTCCCCCTCCGCTTTGTGCTCCAGACCAGGCTACCGATCACGGGAGATATAATCGAGCTAGCCTTCTCCGCCGTCGTGCCCGGCGAAGGAAATCGACCAATGCCAGACGATGAAAATCACTCTTTTCTTGTGGCCGCTCGGAAACGGAAGAAGTGAGAACACGAGTGGCTCTCGTTTCCGTGGCATCTCCGAAACCAATTTCATCTTCATGCGTCACAAAAACTGCACTTTGCTAGTGACAAGTGGCTGGCCTCCATCTCGCAGCGTCCCCCATCAACCCCGAATATAAAATTCCAAATTGTTTTTTCCCTTTCACCGTTTGCCCGCCTCTATGAATGGTCCCCAACACGTAGTCCGAAGGAGGGATGTGAAAAAAAAAAAAAAAAAAAAAAAAAAAAAAAAGGGATGGTTGCGAGCTTCGAACCTCGCCAATCATGGGTTCGCACAACGACGATCTGTTATGGCTCGAGCTTCCGAGAGGTTGAAAGCGAGAAGCCGCGCGGCGGGGATCTGATTCCGCTTTGCGCGCTCCCGAATGAACGCTTGTTATTCGATGCCAACTTGACGTTTTAAATGCGCTGCCGCGTGGAGCGATGGGAGACGGACATGAGGAAGGTTGGCTGCATAAGCCATGGCGTTGGGAGGTCATCGGCCGCCGGGAAACAAGATAGAACCTTGATATCGTTTGGGCCTGGAACGCGTATCATCAAGGCACTTTGTCATAGTGGTGCATTCTCTTCATGATATGATGGATATGACTTGAGTGTGTATCCTCCCTTCACACCCGAGAGCTCAGCTACTCGTTGAGATGGCAGATGCTCCGACAGGCCCACGCACTTGCGGCTAGTTGGATGCTTCGCATTGCATCGGGACTCCCATCCCTCCCTTTCCATGGAAAATGCTCTGCTTCCGCCAACCTTCTTTTTTCCATATCTCCCCCCACCATCGCTAAATGAGATTGGGTCTTGGCGACATTGACAATTACATCAACGACTTCTTCATCTTCCCGGAAAATACAAATCAAATCATCCTCTTTCCCCTCACGAATTCGGGCCTCAGAATCGCCGGTCCCGATATGGCTGGCTCGGCAGTCTTCCCCCGTCCCACGTGCGTGGACCCCGGAGAAATCTTGTCACAGCGCGTCCAAAAACCAGGGGCGGAACGGGCAGAACGGGCAGAAGGGATCGTCCCGAAAGGGAATGACAGGAAGAGAAGAAGGACCAAGGGGAGAAATTACAAAAGAGGGAATGCGGGACGTAAGTGGAGAAACTTGGGGTAACACGATTGCGAGCATAGTGCGCACTCGCATAAGTAAGGAGGAGGTCGTCAAGATGATTCTTGTTCGGAGGAGGGGGGGCAGGATGTTCTGAGGGAGTGGCAGTGCAGTTCTCGAAGATTATCTCCCACAAAGTGAGGGGAAGGGGAGATGAGCCTCTTGTTTTGAGGCCCTTCTAGACACCCACGTTTTAAAGCATGGAATATGATGGCGTATACTTCGAGAACCTTCAAGGAAACATCAGGCACATCGCCTCTTGATGTGGATTAAGCCAGAATAATAGAGGGCAGAATATGAGCCCGACTCCGAAACGTAGGATCACGATTCACGACCATTTTCCTAGACACGCGTCGTGTGTAAGTGAGGCGGGTGGCTTGACGATCCTGATGTAAGTGTAAGTGGACCCTGCCGCCGGTCACCAATTTGGTCCGGGGGAGGGAGAGAAAGAGAGCAAACATCAAATGCCTGCCGGTGAGAAGGGAGGGATGACCGTGATTCTGAACGCCAGGCATATACATTGTCCGCACGCGACAGCTTCGAAGCCAAGCCAAGCCAGGCCAGGCTCTATTCATCCGGGCTGCCTACGAAGTAGACCGTAGGGCCCAACCTCTTCAAATGACCGATCAGTGGCATTGCACCCACACTTCATCTGGGGCTGCTATTTTCTCGAAGGAGTACATCAATCCTTTCCGTATGGCTCGTTATGGCTCGGCCTTCTCGGTGAATCGAAATGAGGAAGCAGGACGGCGAATTCACCACCGCCCGACAAGATCCCCTTCCGCATCTCATTCGACGCGACTCTTCACTCAGCACGCCTTTGATTCCAAGTCTCATGTGCCATGGTTGATGTATCCCTGCTCCGCGCATTATTGGCTCTTGAGGTCACTTTTGCTTTAAACCCGGTCGCCCGTACCCGCACTGCTTCTGCAGCGCATAGAATACCACAGCCCCAATTGCTCGACCAAAGAAAAAAAAAATTAAATTCCGCCCTCCGACACCATCAGTGCCCAAACCAAACAAATGAGGCGAACAGAGAGACTAGCCCGTATAAGAGCTGGGGTCATCATGCAGCCCAAAACTCCCTTCATGTCGCCTTGTCGTGAAGAGGGTGGCACAACGTATTGATACCCCAACTGCCGCCTACTTATTTTTTTTGGCTATCATGGACCCCCATGGTATGCGTAAATACGCCCAGTGGGGTTTGGGGGGAGGGGATAGCTGCTTGCATCCTGGCCCTGCACAACTGCGCGCCCACATCAAGCGTCGAAAACGGGGGGACGACGGGATATCGCCACGTACTAGGTTGCAAAAAAAAGAGCTTGGGGGGTGTACGGTAGATCATGGATGGTTGGGACGAGAGTAAGAGCCGGAAGTGTGAGAGAGAGAAAGATGCTTGCTCAGCGGGCTGTAGCACCCACACACACACTTGTGACTTGTGGTGAACGTTCCTTCGTCTCGGAAGAGGTGTTACAAAGGGGTCGAGCAAGAACGTCACCGATGGGTTTGTTTGCTCTCTATGAGTCCATACCTCTTGCCATCCTGGTGGCCCCGACACGAGAGCTGTGCCCCCATCTGTTGTTAGGGCCAGTCATCTCTCTCCACTTACACCCACCATCTAGCTTCTCGATGCCCGAGAAGACCACCCCCTCCTAGATGAAGGAGGGAGTAACTGTACCACCAGACTCTTGCGCCCACCATGTGTATACCCTTGCTTATGGCGATACGGGATGTAGCCATACTTTTGTGTTCGGGAAGGCCTCATTCTCTTTGCCCCCGGGGCCATTACCCGAACCCCTTGGCCCCGTCGCCAGGATGGTTCACCTGTAACATAGGACAAGGGCGTCGACGGACAATGGCTATATCAGAGAGCCGTAGAAGAGATCAAATATAAATTTGGCCCATCCTCGCCAGAATCTTTCCCCTTAGACACACACTCGACTCAATCCCAGAAAGGTTGGTAACTGAGCAAAACCAAAGCATACCCGTAACCAAGACTCAAACCTACTCTTATACCTGATATCCACCGTTGACACAGAAAAACCTCCTGCTCACTGAACGTCTTAGCCAGAAAGAAATGGCGGACACTTCTTTCATCCCACCACCCCCTCCTCCTCTCATGTCCCCAACTTGCCCTAGACCTTCCCTAGGTCGACAGTCAAGTTGGCACAGAACCTCCACCATCCAAGGATCTGTACCTCCCCCGCCGCCTCCTCCCCCGCCCACGGAGAGCTGGGCCCCCGATGAGGAGGAATACATCGAGGCGGATGAGCTCCGCGGCAACGAGCCCGAGTTCGTGTTAGACAGGGGTATCCCCTCCAGCTATACTCCTCTTCCGCCGGACATGGTCGATGAATTTCGGAAATTTCGACAATTCCTCGACGCTGGCGGCGTGGAAGGCCTCAAGAACCAGATTGTGGAAGAAGGCAAGCGTTTCTCATTCTCGTCCCTTCCCATCTTCACGTTCTCCTCTCCCACTTCTGGCTTCCAACTAACACGAGTTCGGCAGTCGGAGAACGAGTTAGAAGTGATATAGAGAGGAACTCGTTCTCCTCCCGACCTTCCCCCCCATCCCCGTCGCCTTCCTACTCTACCTCACCAACCACCTACTCCCACTCCTTTTCCTCTTCTCCGAAGCAAAGCCAAATCCCGCGGGAATCATTCTTCCCCAAGGCTCCCAACTTTACGGCAGCTCCGCCGACCGGCCCTACCTTCCCGCAAACACCGCCGGCTTCTCCTCTTCAGAAACCCCAAAGCGACGTCGGCCTGAGCATCGTCGACAAGCGCTGGGGTCAGCTGTTCGATGAGAACGGCAAGGCCACCAGGAGACTTGGTCAGGTTCTGAGAGGAATCGCCAACTATCTTGTAAGTAGTTCGAAAAGTGTTTTCAGCTCGTGACGTCGGCGGATCGTCGCTAAAGAACTAAGGCTAACTTCATATTACAGATCTCGCAGGTAGAGCCTCTCGGCCTCGTCATCCCCCCCAAGAAGTTGTCGGTCTTTTACCGACAGTATGCTGTCGAAAACGAACCGCATTCCTTTGCTGGTTAGTCACATCGATAGAGATACCCCGACAGAGAGAAAATAAACACGCTAACTCTTACTGCCCTCTCTCAAATAGACGTTTTCAAGTGTCGTGAGGATGACGAAAAGGACTGGCTTGATATCGAATACCTCTTCGAGGATCTAGAATGCAACTACCACCTCATCAAACACTCCCCAAAGTCTCCCAACATCGTTCCAGCCCTCACCCCGGACGGCTTCGTCAAGTGGACCATAATGGCCATCTACGCCAACCCAGACGTCGAAGCCAAACGCCTGGACAGGATCATGTCGAAACTGCCCATCGACTCAGACGGGCCCCTCGTGGATGGAAAGCCCGAGAGGCTCCCGAAGCAGCTATCGAGACACCTCCTCCCCAAGAAAGCCGACAAGACTGCGCAGGAGAATTTGGACCTTTCCATCAGGGACGTCTTTTCTCGGCGAAAATCCCGCGATCGAAAGAGGGCTGAAAAGGCACGGAAGAGCTCTCCGGACGGCGGCTTCGGCTCGAGCACATCATCACCATCTAAGAACCGGGACAGGGACACATCCTACAATGACGGCAGCCCTGACTCCAGTTCCAGGAGAAAGGAGGAGAAGAAGGCGCCAGCCAAGTCCGTCAGGTTTACAAACAAGGACCGGGATAATGACGGCACTCAATCTACTCGACCGTCGAAAGAAGGAGCCGGCCGACCCTACAATTTGAGCAACATTACACTGCCCCCAACGGCCCGGGGCCAGGAACGCAGTCCATCAACGAAATCACCCCGGCATGGCTCCACTGACTCTAGTAGTCCTGCCGAGCCATATGCAACGTCGTCGCCTCCCCCGCCTTCGGTATCTCTGCTAGATCTCCACAGCGGACGAGACCGGTCGGAAAAGGACGACAAATACTACAGATATTCGTCCAAGGCCGAAGACGTCACCCCGCGCCGCATGCCGAACGGGAGTGGAGACGACGCTCCCAGGTCCAGGCGAAGGAGGAGCGTTGTGCTCACACAGGACAAGCCGCCCAGTCGACATCACAGCCGGCGAGAGTCGGCTGCAGACTACGCCGGACACCAGTACAAATGAAACGCTCTCACGAGCTTCTGGGCCCCACGACTAGGAACGCTCAAGATGGATCACATCTCGATATGTACGCTTGTGAGAATGAATGCCAAAAGAGTAAAAGCAGGGGAGAAGAACAGTGTGTTACATCTTCCAGGGGGTATTTCCCGTTCGGGCTGGGAAGCATTTTGTCCTTTCCAGAATGTTCATGTTGCTTTCACGGGCCTCGTGACTGTGGTATTACGGATACTTCATGTTGCTGTACGAACTGGAATTCGTCGATTCTCGTTCTCACTTGTTTTGATTACCAGACCAAGGCTTGGGGGAAACAAGATTGTCCACAACATCTTTTCCTGCTGTGTAGCTAGATTAGTTCCAAAATTGCGTTTCAACCATTTCAGGCTCGTGTCTTTTTGCTCTTGTCCCCGTGACCTGCCACATTCACGTGTAGGTGACGTTTTGCAACAGCACCGCCCCGTCTAAACTACGTCTAAACGATACGTCTCTGGTACCTCAACGATGTGTTGGTGCCAGGGAAACGACGGCGTTACGGTGGCTCGTATTCCCGCTGTACCAGGGCGTTCGTCGTATTGAACTTATCAGGAGTTAGAACAATAGAAGAAGCCAATTACTAACGTCTCACAGCTTGGTCTCGCAAATATCACAGATGCTGTCGAATCTAGACTTTCTAGGACTTTTTTTAGGCCAGAGCTAGCCGGGACGGCGCGCCCTGCCAAAAAGCTCTTTACCTCGCACATGACGTAAAATAATGAGGCGGACCAGAACTTAGATGGGGCGGGCTTGAAATTGCTGCTTCTAACCATCTTAAGCTCAGAGTCACCGCATGCCAAATCCGGATAGAGGGACGGGGAGTGGGTGGCGGAGCTGTCTCGCCCTGTCAACTAGTAGGATCGGATGGGAGCTGCCGGTGGCGCCCCGGGGCCCAGGGGAAAGGCACATTCGTGCCTTGGGGCGTTCGAGGTTGATCGTCGGTGCTGATCTCGAATGCTCCCGGGATTCTTGCTAGAACAGATATTCTTTTTTCGAATCAAATGGTTTGCTGAGACGAACCCAAGCTGCTGCAGTGACTGAAGGGTCGAGACAAGGGAGGGGGTATGTTAGCACAACATCGCAAAGACTTCGTATATCGCGCGAACTAAGACTATGAGGCGACCGCTCATGAATACGTCTGAAGCGGGGGAAATAACAACTGATTCTCGTCTCCGAACCCGGGACCCTGGGCTTTCTTTCCACAACACCCAAATCATCGTCATGTCACCTCGGAGGCACCACGGTGTTGCTCTTCAATAAACATCGTCCATTGCCAGAGCTTTCTGTAACCCCCGCAGCCAATGATGTTAGACTCGAGCATCTCCGCTTAGATGCCACCTGGCCTGATTTGACTTCGCCTATCTTCAATTGCTTAGACGTCATATAAGCTTGTGGGTTTGCGGGGTTTTTCATGCCTCGCCCATGGAAGAGAGATGGAGGAGAGGCGGGGTGCATGAAGTTGGGTTTAGCATGGTTTGTGTCGACATCACCCTAAACATTTCGTAGGGTAGGTGAGCTTGATCTGATGGGGGCTCGGAATTAACTTATGGGCTTCTCTCGCTCCGCCGTTTAGCGGGCCTCGCACCCCCTCAGTCCGATCATTGTAATCTGTCCCCTGGGTATATAAAGGCCTCGCGGGTTTTTCTATCCACTTGAGCTGTATGGCAGCCGCGTTGAAGATGTAGGCAGCGGGGCACATGAACCCCGCGTTCGAGCCTGGGCTTCCGCGGCATAGTAAATGAGCCTTCGAATCTGCCACAGAGCCCGTGTATTCAGTGACCTACTCAGCATGAGACTAGTTAGCCGCGTGAAGTATGTGCAGGCCCGGGTGATGGCATCGTAAAACCGACATATCCACCCAAACTTTAAAACGCTTGCATCCAACTACCAGAGTCTTCAAGTCTCTGCACTCGGCGACCGAGACTAGTATGGGCCAGGGAACTATACACGATATTTTGGCGTCAGTTATCTCATCGGTACCCTTACGTATCGGTCCGCAAGGCATACGAGCTAGGAAAGTGGAGGAGGGGGACACTAACCATCATACTTCCATGTGAAATGTGTATCACGATGCTTTTCCACCCCCTTCGACGTCAGGACCCCATGGTACAAAAGGCCCTGTTTCCCGCATATGAGGTCTCTTCGTGGCTTTTCCTTATCTTGAATCCTTCTAAAATTTTCGAAGATTCGAGCGTTTTGGTTTTCCTTAAACTTTCCAACCCCACGCTCGGCTCAATGGTCTGAGTGTCTCTTCCATAACATCATCATCGATCACCACATCTCCCACTTATCGCTGGCCTACTTACCCCATGCCACCCGCTCTCATCCCCAAACATTGAACTCGCGGGATAACTTCAACTCGATACTGTACCTCGCCCCACCGGATCACAATGGCTGGGTCCGACAAATCCACCCCGATATCCCTCGGCGAAGAGAGCCTCGGCCCTGCGATCGAGATGACGGACATAGGACTTAAAGCTACCAAGAAGCTCGCCAACCCTCTCGACGGCCTTTCCTTCGAGGAGTTGTCCATTCGTGCAGAAGAGTACTGCAAATACCATGGTATAACGAAAGAAGAAGATGTCCGCTCTTTCCGCTTGGGAGCCCAGCTCGCCGGTAATCTCGACAGGTGGGATGCTGTAGAAGGTCTCACCGACGAGGAGAGGATTGTTCTTGAGCAGGAGAGAGACCACAAATGGAAGAACCCCAAGATGCTATACTTGGTCGTGGCTAGTAAGTGATGAGCTTGCTCACATTTTTGGGACGCACAAGATCTAACAGCTTTTCCAAAGTCTGCTCTCTTTGCGCCACGGTCCAGGGAATGGGTAAGCCGATCGTAATACAGCCACCCCCGCATCCGTTGTTGTGCAGAAAGCTAACACTTGTCGACCATAACAGACGAAACCGTCGTAAACGGTGCCCAAGCTTTCTATAAGCACCAATTCGGCATCGGCAGCGGTAGTATACGAGACACCTGGTTGCTTGGTCTGGTGAATGGCGCTCCCTACCTTTGCTGTGCCGTATTTGGATGCTGTCAGTATAACCTTCGCGAAGAACTGGGTAGAAAATCGCTAACACTCACCTTTTCAGGGTTGACACACCCGTTGAACGAGCGATTCGGTCGGCGAGGAACTATCTTCTTGTGCGAATTAGGCATGTTATCCCACCTTCGTCATAATATTCGCTTCGAAAGAAAATGTTAACACTCGTCCAGTGTCTATCATTGCCTGTATCTGGCAGGCTCTGACGAACAGCTGGTGGCACCTATTCATTGCTCGATGTCTTCTCGGATTCGGCCTTGGCCCAAAGTCTGCTACAACTCGTACGTTCATATCCCTAGTTAAGCCTCCCAAGCAAGCAATTTAACCGACCACCAATATGCAGCCATGTTCGCCGCTGAGTGTGCTCCTCCAAGACTTCGTGGAGCTCTCGTCATGCAATGGCAAATGTGGACAGCCTTCGGAATCATGGTAAGAACCTCTCACAGATTTGTCAGTGACAGTGTCGTCAGGCCGGTAACGCTAATACTCTGGTTTAACAGCTTGGATATGCTGCGGATCTAGCTCTTTACGAAGTCCCCGACGTCGGTGGTATCGTCGGCCTCAGATGGAGACTTATGCTCGCATCAGCCGCCCTTCCCGCGATGGTATGCGCTGCACTGGTCTGTACCATTCCCGAATCCCCTCGCTGGCACCTGAGCAAGGAGGAACCGGTCCCGGCGTACCAAAGTATGTGCCGCCTTCGGTTCAAGAAGATCCAGGCCGCAAGGGATATCTTCTACGCCGACGCCCTTCTCAACGTGGAGAAGGATGTTGTGCGCAACACCGGTGTCAAGGAGCTGCTGACCGTCCGACGGAATCGTAATGCATTCTTGGCTTCCGAGATTGTCATGTTTATGCAGCAGTTTTGCGGTGAGTAGCCATCTTGTCATCTTGGGAAAGAGTGCTGATGAAAAGGTCTCACTAACGGTTCTCGCGTGGATAGGTATCAATGTTGTCGCGTACTATTCAACCGAGATCTTCCTGGCCGCCCACTTCTCGGAGAAGTCCGCTCTGGTGGCCTCGCTCGGGTTCGGTGTCATCAATTTCCTCTTTGCGTTGCCCGCTTTCTGGACAATTGACACCTTTGGTCGACGTAACCTTCTCTTGGCCACATTCCCCGTAAGTTCCACCACTCCTAACCCACTTCCTAGATGACTCCGAAAGCAGACGACTTACTGACACGCTTGCTTCAATAGTTCATGTCCGCCTTCCTCCTCTGGACGGGCTTCAGCTTCTGGCTCCCCGTGGGCGCCACCCGCATCGCCATGATCATCACAGGCATCTACCTCTTCGGCATGGTCTACTCCCCCGGCGAGGGCCCCGTCCCTTTCACCTACTCTGCCGAAGCCTACCCTCTTTACATCCGCCCCATCGGCATGTCCTTCGCCACGGCGACCACCTGGTTCTTCAACTTTTTACTCGCCGTCACTTGGCCTAGTCTTCAGAGCGCCTTCACGCCTACTGGCGCCTTTGGCTGGTACGCCGGCTGGAACATTGCCGGCTTCGTTCTTGTCCTGCTCTTCCTTCCCGAGACTAAGGGTCACACCCTTGAGGAACTCGATGCTGTCTTCGACGTGCCTCTGTCTAGTCTTGTTAAGTACGGGAAGAGTGAGTTCGTCTGGTTCTTCAAGCGCAAGTTGCTCCGTCAAGAGGCCAAGCGGCCGGCAGTGCCTCATGCCGCCGTGTTGAATTCTGGGAACTTCCAGATGGCTCAAGGGCAGGCGGGCGGGGTATAAGATGACCTTTTCGGGTTCTCATATGGTGTCTTGTCCATGGAACTTAGGAGGTCTCGAGTATATATGCAAGCCACCATGTCATTGATGCCACAAAGATACGTATGCAGCGGATAGGTAGGCTGCAAACGTAACAGAATATGAAATTGGGCAATATCAAGGCCTAGCCTTTGGAACGGAAGGGCAAATAGTGGGGGAAAAAAATTTAGGTTGGGAGGAGGAAAACAGAATGGGAGAGCAAAGGGGCTGCAGAAGCGGCAAAGAGTGCGAGTATACATTTCCTTGGAATCAATTGAAAAGGGCGTTCAGGAATTGAATCATCAAACTTTAAACAGGCTCATCTCATACATGTGTACACTGTGGGGAGTGAACAAGAAGGGTCATAACTCATCCAGTCGTAACGCGTGGGCTAAAATGCGAACACCCCATGTCCTACCACACATATGCAACCAGGAAAACCCTCTAAAACAAAGGGCATGAGGGCATGATCAACGCTATCCAAAGGTATTCAGCGAGGGGTAGCTGGGGCGGATGAGAGGAAGGACGACTCGCGCAGGGAGCGAGAGGCACGCTTCTCCTTAACGCTCTTCCAGTCGGCCTTCCACTTTTGTATGCTTCGCCTAAGGTCCTCATCCATGTTGGAGGGAGGCGGACACTGCACCTCGATAGCTTTGAGGGCAATGCGGAGACTTGCGAGTTCGGTGTCATATTCGTGGAGGTTTGCTTGCCTGTTGGGAGCGAGCTTAGTGGGCCAGCTCGAGAGACTGTTATGAAGCCTGGGGCACTTACAGGTTTTGGACGTGATCTTCGAGAACGATAATGCGCTGCGCCGCTCGCTCGGCTCTATCGATGAGAAGTGCATGGATATGCTAGATGGGTGTTAGCCGCTCGGTCCCTATCCTAGTAAATACATAAACGGCCCGCGTACCTCTGATTCCTCCTGGCGAGACTGGAGCCGGGAGATGATGGAGGTCAGATGCTCACTTAGCTCCTCAGCCTCCTGGGCAATTCGACTGGCATCCTCGGCGGAGATTGCGGGCTTCGGCCTCCGAATTTGAACCGGTTTCCGTTCGGCTGGAGGTTTCAAAAGCGGTGCCTCCGCAATGGCGTTCGTGAGGTCGGAGACTTGAGATCTTAAGAGGGCTGACAGACTCGTAGCTGGTCCCCATAATATCTGAGTATCCCGGCCCGACAGGAAATCAAGGTCAAGGCTCACCGGCCGTGAACTATTTGGGGAATGATTTCCCCGTCGAAGGTGCGTACGATGCGGACTCCCCTCGAGGACATCTTCCATCTCGTCCACCTTAGAGTGGAGCGCGGAAAGGTTCTCATCCTTGAAGCTGGTGTCGTCACTATTCAGGCGCTGCATGAGGTCGCCGAGCCGTTGAAGGAGGACATCTTTGCTATCTAGTGCGATGGGGTCTTCTGATGATGGGCTATCACCAGAGTGCTCCGCCGCGTTGCTTTCCACGTCTCCATCGTTAGCGTGTTCGTGCGTTTGTTCGTGCGTTTGTTCGTGCTCGTAGTCTTGGCTATCGTCAGCCTGGTCGTGGTCGTCAGCCTGGTCATCATAACTCGTGTCGTGTCCTATCTCGACTGAGGGCGACTTGAGCCAGGGTGGGCCTGGGGCGCGTGGGGATGAGAACTGCTTGGAATATGGCGAGATGCCGAGGCGATAGAGCGAGACAGGAGACGAAAGTGTCGGCGAAGGGAGAGGAGGTGGTGTGACGACAGCGGCTGCCCGTTCAATGGGTTCGATCTCGTCCTGGCTAAGATTCGGCGGAGGATCATCTGTACCGTTCATTTGGCGATCCGAGAACCGGCGCGTTTCATGCGGAGACTTGGATGGGGTTACGGTAAGTTGGGTGTGTGGGGAGGGGGGTGTGTGAGAAAGACAACTATGTCCTATGGGGGGGGAAGGATAGCGCCCACCGGCGTCGGACGATGGGACTGTGGAATCTTCAAAAGTTGTGTGATAATTCTTTTGATAAACGAGGCTATTTTTTGCTTCTCCCTTTTCTTCTGGCCGCCTGACTTGGCCGAGCTCTCTCTCGTCGTAATCGTTGGCGCTAATTGAATTGAACAATGCTCTTTTCCTGATAAGTCAACGTGCTCCGAAAGATAATGCACTAAGGGTATTGTTTCGTAAGGCGGATTATTATTTTCACTCACCCCACGAATGATGATTGGGAGAACGTCATTCCTGGGCAACGTCGGAGCTTTCGGAGTTTGGCGTTTTCATTCAGCTCATGATGGTGGCTGGAAGGAAGGAAGGGAGGTCTCACTCCGGGAGAGGGTAAGGCAACGCGCTTGCATGTGACATGTGACTAGGGGAGGCGAGACAGAGGCTGGAAGGGTCTTTGCTTTGACTCTACGAAGTACTTCGTACCTAGCCAGCTGGCGTCCCGCTGGCGATTTTGAGCAGCCTGCAGAATGCGAGGGCGGATCTTGGAAGGCGCAACGGGAAACGGGCCCCACACTGGCTGGGAGCTGTGACCATTCGAAGCTCCAAGAGCGATGCACGGTTGCTGCATTGGGGTGGGGTGATGCGGGGCGAATGGAGAATGGAAGCCGCAGTTGGCAGTTGGCAACAGCAGGAGGATCACAATTACTTGTCCACTTGTCCACTTGTTCGATCCGTTTTGGTACCACATCGATGAACAAAATGCACAAAAGAAAAAAACATGTGGAAGAGACAGGGGTACCAAGGCAGGGACCACGGAGAAAGACGGGCGGAGTACGACGGAGTACGAGTACCGAGTGCCGAGAGCTGTGAGCTTGGTCCAATAAGCCTGCGGCTATTACAGTTTGAGAACCAGGGAGCTTCCCCGGTGCAGCCCGTGAGGCTCGCCAGAATGGCCCGAAAGTGGTCTCAATTTTGAAGAAACTGGTGTGTTTTGTCGTCTCCTGGAGCGGCACAAGTGGATCAACAGAGCCCGGTATTGCATATACATTATCGTATTGGGTAGTATTTAGATATTAGACTGGCACCCAACCCCACAGCTGCCATGTTGGAGACTTGGAGTCGAGGTCAGCGCTGAATGCCGTCGCGGCAGGATCCACGATCAAGCACGAAGTACGGAATAGGGTAGTTTAGATCGGGAGCACGAGACGATTCTCCTAGTCGAAACATTAACTTCTTGGCCACCGCCCACGTCCGGAGTCAGAGGTCTGGAACAGCGAAATCGACTCCATCTCCACATGTATTAAATATGTATTGGCCCACGTCCCCCCCTCGATATTCCTACGAGTTATGTACATTTGTATGGATCGGGATATGGGGCACATGAGAAAAAGTGAAGCATCAAAGTCGACTCAAGCTCTTAATAATAAGAGTTGCTCGGCTCCCCGGCTTTTGACCAAGCCCAAACGAGCCAAGCACTGGCCACTATTCGAGCAGTGACGGACACATGCCAACAAGCGCACATGTCTACGCAGTATTACGGACGGCTTCGTGTTCCACTGATCCGATCCCCGATCCCCGTTGCGGTTGCGGTTCCAGTCCCCCAGTCTCTGTCGCCTACCAGTCGCCCCCTTCCCCAAAACCCGTGTCCAGGCCAAATGGAAGGAACCTCAAAGGGAGACTTATCCCCCACGAATGTTCCCCCCCTCGCTCGTTCTCACCTCCAATTGACAAGATCGGATTGTCTTTGGATGGCCAACCCTGGCTACTGAGTTAAGCCTCACGAAACTGACCTTTTTCTCTCGCCTTGATTATAATCAAAGGTGACAAAAAAAAATATAAGGAGATAGTCGCCCTCGTGGCTTAATCCCACGCCCCATCCCCATATGTCTTACTGCCTCGGCAATAAACACACGCTCGACCGACAAAGACCGCGGGGTTGACTCACGCCTATGACCCGAGGGCATCCACTTCCACGCCACTACCAGACGAATTGATTTCATCATACCCTCTACGCCGCGTTTTTCGATATTCTCGACGTCTGCCACCCACAATTGAACGGAAACCTTAGCCAAGACGGTGAAACTACAATTGAACTCGACACGCAGGCGGGACCATTTTCACCAGCGCGCACAGAGCAAGGGCGAAAAACATCAAATCCTAGCTTCAGGAGCAACTTTCACTTTTTCTTCCTTGCGTCGCCTCCAATTGCCAATCGTTCCACCGCCTTTCGCGAACACACATGCACCAACCGATCACCACTTTCGCGTAACCTCTCGATAGGAGGAGTCTCCAAGTCGGAACAGCAAGCTATTCGTGTGTTTGGTGGGGTTTAGCAAGCCCCCCTCACATCACCGTCACCATGTCGTGGAGGAAGACAGAACGTTTGATGGAAACCATCAAGCACTATGCAAGCTTCCCCGCTACCGGCGTGAGCTTGCGCCAGATGGTCCAGTTCGGCAAAGATCCATCTGTTGGTGCGTATCCCCTATTCTAACCCCAGTTTGCCTCTCAATCGAGCTTTTTTTGGATATTGCACCCAAATCATGGTCAAATCCAAAATACTCTGCTCAAATGATCGAACACGAGTACTCACGCCACCTCGCCTTTTTGTCTAGGTACCCTCTTTCGAGCCTCCCAGTTCCTCTCTGAGGAGCTTCCTATCCGCCTTGCCCACAGAGTCCAGGAGCTGGACAACTTACCAGACGGCCTCGGCGAAATGCCCTCCATAAGACGTGTCCAAGATTGGTACGCCCAATCCTTCGAGGTACGAAAAAACTATGACCCGAACCGGGGAGCCATCAACTCCTCCTAAGAGGGTGCTTAAGCTTTCTTGATGGACTGGGGATTCCCGCCACCCCCCAATTCCCTTCCTCTCCCAGTATACTGACACAGTCATTTCAAGGAAATCACCGAATTGCCACGGCCACGGCTCGACAGTGAGACTAGAGAGCGACTGATGAAGCCTGCCAAGCACGCAAAGAACAAATGGCTCCCTGAAAACACGCCGAACCCCAGCTTAACCGAAGGCGAGTACTCTGGCGGCTGGTCGAACCAACGGCAGAACGGCAACAACAACGGCAATGGAAATGGAAACGGAAACGGAAACGGAAACGGCAATGGGTGGTCAAGGAAGTATCACTCCGCAAGGAGATATTTTGCTGCGGTCGACGACGCTGGTGGTAGCTGGCCGCCGGAGCTGCATATGTACAATCTCAAGTTCGGAGAGTGCCTCAATAAAATCAAGAGGCGGCACGACGGTGTCGTGACCACCATGGCGCAGGGTATTGTCGAGTACAAGCGAAAGAGGCAACGCCTGCAGATCGACAACAACATCCAAGCCTTCCTAGATCGCTTCTACATGTCTCGTATAGGCATACGTATGCTAATCGGTCAACACATCGCCCTCACATCACAAAGCCACTATCGAGATCCCACATATGTCGGCATCATATGCACGAAAACGAACGTCCACGAACTCGCCCAGGAAGCCATAGAGAACGCCCGGTTCGTCTGCGAAGATCACTACGGACTCTTCGAAGCCCCCCGCGTCCAGCTTGTCTGCAACCCCCACCTGAATTTCATGTACGTGCCAGGCCACCTGTCGCACATGCTCTTCGAGACCCTCAAGAACTCTCTGCGAGCCGTCGTCGAGACACACGGCCAGGACAAGCAGGAGTTCCCTGTGACCAAGGTCATAGTCGCCGAAGGCAAGGAGGACATCACCATCAAGATCTCTGACGAGGGTGGTGGCATTCCTCGTAGCGCCATCCCGCTTGTGTGGACCTACTCGTACACGACGGTTAATCAGACGCCGAACCTCGATCCGGACTTTGATAAGAGCGATTTCAAGGCGCCTATGGCTGGATTCGGATATGGATTGCCAATCTCGCGGTTGTATGCCAGGTACTTTGGCGGCGACTTGAAGCTTATTAGCATGGAGGGGTAAGTTTTGGCTTCTTTTCTTACGGATATGAGCGAGCAGCCCTCTTCTAACACATCTGCAAAAACAGATACGGAACCGATGTCTACCTACATCTCAACAGACTGTCGAGCTCTTCGGAACCCCTACCTTAAGACACCCAATCTTGCATATTCTACATACCCATAGATTACGGATTGACGACGAAACCACTCTCTCCGGGCCACGACTTTAATTCACGGACGCCGAGGCATTTATTGTAATATAATGCATATGTGCCCATCGCTTTTCGTCCGCATCGGTTCTCGCACACGACACACCTCTGGATATATATTCCTCCATCAACCCCGGCTCGCTCTCACTCGAAAGAAACTCTACTCACATCCAGCTCGTTAATGTCTTGTTCTTCTTCTTTTCGCCAACCAACTCAACTCTAAGCCAACTACGACAACCCCCCAATATAAGAGACTGAGCCTCCAGAGAGTCGAGAAACCAGAAGCAATGTCCGAAGAAGAGTGGAGGCCAATCCTTGGCCAAAAAAAAAAGGAGAAAAAACTTGAAGTGTATGAATGTTTGAGATTTTTGAAAGCATTAAGGGGGGTTTGTGGTACCTTTTTGGACCTTTTTTTTTAATCACAAAAAGGAGAGAAAAAAAGAAGCAAAAAAACTACATTGGGCAAAATTGGGCGGATGGGTTTGTTTTTGGGGGTGCGGGAACGGGGGAAATAGGCGGGCACATAACTCATCATACCTTTTTCATGGTCATATTAAATGTAGTTGGAATACCTATCCTCTTCTTATCTACTTACCTTGTACAAGATCCAAGAAAAAAATGAGTAAAAAGAAATTGAAATTGAAGAATCACCAGCTCTGTTGTGTTGAATGCGCTCGAGGGTCTTTTACGATGGGAAGCAAGAAGAAGCAGAAGAACTTTATGTGTTTCTGGATTCCTAGGTGGATGATGCCAAATGAACTAGACGACTCCTCTATCGGCTCGAAACTAGATGGCACCTCGCTAGCAGAAATTCTTTCATGAGACATGGTCTTGCTGGAGTCGTCGCCCTAAATTCCTCTCGACCTGGCCATGATCCCCCATAGCCCTATGAACCGGGAAGGGGAAAAAAAAAACGAACGAGAAAACCAGGACAGCTCGGCTACTATGCTTCCCCTTCAATCAACCATCCTTGAGGCCATAATGAGAACTGCCGTTCAAGGGAGCTCGGTCTCAGAGTCGTCGTCATCGTACTGGGGAGGTCGCTCAAAGTCTTCAAGGGTGGGAAGAGGAGCGGGCTCGACCTTACGACGCTAAATCGAAGAGAATCCAGGACGTTAGCTTATTCACTCTAACACTAGAATTACACAACGCCAGCATGACGGAGCGAGGTCTAAAACTTACAGGCTTGGCCCACTTCGAACTGGTGGTCCTGGGAGCCGCGGTCTCCTTCCTAGAAACGCGAGGAGCGGGGGCGTCAACAAGGAACTCGTTGACGTTGACATCGGAAGCATTGGACGCCCGGCTACTGAGAAGCATAGTGCTCCTGCTCGCGATGCTCTCCTGGTCGTCGTCGTCCTCCTCGAAGGGGTCTTCCTCGATAGCCTGGGGCTGTCGGGCCTGTCGACCGGAAAAATCCCAATCATCGACACGGCGGGACGAACCGCTCACGATGCTCGACTGGCGACCCCCCGCCCGAGCAATGTGGGGAGGCATGAAGCCTCGACCAATCTGGGAGGAAGAGTCGCCGGGAGCGATGGAGCCGTTATCCGTCTCGGATGGGGCGTAGGAAGAGGTCACGACGCTTCCCTCCTTGGAGCTCAAGATGAGGTGGGGAGGCAGACCCAGGCTAACCTGGCTCCTTTGGTCGAGATGAACACCGCCGATAGACGACTCGGCGTCGGTGTCGATCGAACCAAGAACGGAAGCGGCGTGAGACTTGCGAAACAGTGAGCTTATTTAGCTTCCCTGGCTGGAGTCTTCGAATGTGTCTTACCTGCGTACGGCTGAAGGCTACGGATTGGTTACTTCCGTGCGTGTCGGGGGCGGCTGCATCTTCCTTGGCAACCTCGACGTTCGCCTCGTTCTCCTGGGAAAGCTGGAATGCCACGCAAGACTGGCACCACTGATATTCCGTTACTGTGAGAAATCGATCTAGCCTTGCCTGGTAAGACATGGGGTCCGGCCTCAACTTACGTAGACACCATTGGTGCGGCCGTTCTTGCTAAACTCGGAGATGGGCTTCACCTTGTCGCAAGGACCCTGGCAACGATACTCCAGGGAGGGCTCACCCTTGTGCTCTCGGCAGGTCATGCCAGTGTTGTGGATGGATACCTTCATGCCTCGTTTGACCTTGTGCTCAAAGACGTTCCACTCCCGCTTGGAGAAACTGCTGGCAGGCTTGTATTCCTTGCCGACGGAGCACTTGAACCTGTGGAGATTGTGAGCAGAGTAAAACTCGGGGACTGAACCGGGACTACACGCACTGCGCGGAGCTCAGGATGTCGTTTCTGGATAGAGCTTCAGGTTAGATGGTCCCCGGAAGTACAGCTTCCGCTCTAATGGTTTTTCGGTACTCACGGGTTTCGAGCCGGGGCTTTGCCCTTGTCAGGCTTGCCAGACGAGTTGGAAAACTTGGGAGGCATCGCGGTAGTGCTATGGCAGTATTCTTCCTCTGTGATAGAGAGAAAGTGTGTTAGGCCTTGGGACTATTCAAAAAAGAAGTCGGGAGTAGCTGGTTTCCTCGACCAGATATCAAGAAAAGGATGCTTTGAAGAATAAACAGAAAATGAGCCTAACCCAGAGCAGTATTTTCTTCTTAAAGATCTTGACTCTTGCGTCAAAGTGAGGGCAGGCAGGTTCTGTTCCAAGTGATGAGATCACCACCTACGACCTGTTTGCTCCTGTTAGCTTTGTATAAGATCATGGCTATGCCTGTGATTGTGCCTGGGGTGAAAGAAAGCCTAAAGATGAAACAGATTTGATGCTTTTCAAGAGGGAGTGAAAGCTGTAGATCTGAGACATGGCAAAGTGAGTGCTGAGGATAATCACATCCCAAGCCTCTGATCCATATTTTGAGAGAAACATTGTGGTTTAAAATAGGAAGAGCTAGGAGCTCACATCCAAGGAGCTATACTTACTGTGGAGTGGGAAGCGTAGAGCGGAGTGAAAAGTTGGTCTTCCGTAGCAGCAGAAGTCAGTTCCCCAGGTCCTTTGAGGGAGGAGGTGGGAAGATTCGGAATTCGATATACTGTTGATAATGTTAGCAGACTTATGAGCAGTGACTGGGCTCTGAAATAGTGTCTGTGGAGAGACCACCTACGAGGCTTCTGCTGTCTTCTTCAAATAGTAAGATGGAGTGGTATGGAAGAAGACAAGAGATGTGGATGAGCTCAGTCGAGGAGGGAAAATAGAAGAGGTTCCAGTCACATGTAGAGGCAATAAAGACTCTATTGAAGACTTTTCTGAAGTCCTGGCTAAGGTTGTACTTTCTTTTCCATTTGAGAAAGTACAGGGGCGCTCACTATTAGCTTAGATGGAAGCTGCGAGCGAGAGAGGTGGTGATCTCAAAGGGCTCTCAATATCAAAATGGATCCCACATCAGATTCGAGTGGTGCCTTCCATGGCCGAGGACTTGAGCCCCAATATGAACCGCTCTACGAAGTACAGAGAGGCAATAAAGGAAATGCGACTTTCCTCGCTTCTTTGGTTTGACGATATGGCGGTGGAAGAACCCGCAGCTCCCCGAGAATGGGATGGAACTCATGCCAGACCCTCTAAGCTTGAGGCTTGCCTTACGTCCCGCTTAATATGTAGTTACTTAACACTGCGAGGCACCGAAAGGAAGGGCAAAGATTGAAGCAATGGCTGCAGCCACCCGTCGATTATACGCCATGATGGTGAGGTGGCTGGTCTGTTCCAAGGGTTCACTGGTTACACATGTGGTAGTGAGGTTTCGCAAACGGTTTTGTTTTGTCCGACAAGGCCAATTCAAACACAGGATTTGCTCGTCGATATGGCTGCTATCATGAAGTCTGATGTAGGGGGGAAGTTGGTTACTTTAGCATCTATTTGTCTATCTAGGAAAAGCGCCTCAGAACCATAAGAGCGGAGGATCAGTCGCGGCTCCTGGCCTCCGAGAGGCCTTGCTCCGCCTGCCTAGAACGGCACTAGAAAGACAGAAACTGAGGAGCTAAGCGAGGGCAAACAGCAAGCCAAATGCCGACCAAGCTTCAGTCAGGTTGGAACCGGCAGCAGTTGGCCGGAGCATCTCCACCTGTGAGTTGCTCAGCGCCCCTTTCTAAAGAAGATCTCGCCCCCCCGTAGGCAATACGGCTGACTACGAATGCGACTGGTCGTGCTATTCTGATATCCCAAAGGCACAATTGTGTTCCCTTCCCGAAGTCTTCACTGTGCAAGGAGTGGGGCCTCGCTATGCCTCCCAAGCTGAAAGAGAGAGGGAAAAGGTATGGCGTCAATGTCTGTCGACACCCGCATGGACTAAGAGCAGGTGCTTCACAGGGGCTGCGCGTCGGTGGCTCTCCAGGGCCCCAGTGCATACTAAGTGCATACTTCGTACGTATGCAGCAGTATTAATATTTGTCTGTTCGAAACCGAGCGTCAAAAAGTGCACTGCTGCTTCTTGTCACAGAGTCCGGGAATCACCTGCAAAATTGACCGCAAATCGACCGAGCACCGGGCCCTCTTCCGGTTCCCCGCGTGGAGACTGGGCGTGGATCTGCTTAGCATCTACGAAAAGTGAAGAGTGAGAAGAGATCGAATTCAGCTTCCATTCTGTCACTTTCCTATTGTGGCTCTCTGGATTGTCCAGGATGAGGGGTTAGCTTTCCCTCATAGTAGCAGAGACTGGTGGGCGGCGTACCTCTCGATTTGGATTCTTGAGTGGGCGAGCGAGGTTCTGGACCGACTCTCGCCGCTAGTGCCGCCACACTCTGGAGCCGTCGATGTCGGTTGACCGGTAAGAAAACATGCCATGTCTCTCTTCAGGCGTTCTTTACTTCATAGTGTAGTTTCCTTCTTAGTGCTCAAGGACTGGCGGGGAACAGATGGGAGCTATGTTCTGCGTCTTTCCTTTTCAAGACTTAGGACGCTGGCCATCAGAAAATAATCACAACCTATTCTAGTGACGGCCTGTGCTTGCATTCGCACGCGCAGCATGCTGTCACAGTCCGTGTGGTCAACTGGCTGGATTACAGTATGTATCGGGTATCGTGTGATGGGGAGGGGGTTTATGGTGATGGGGAATTTTGGTCTGGAGAAGAAGGACAAAGCACAGATTTGAAGACTGGGATGGCTGTGGAACCTAGGCCTGCCTGGTTGTGGTTCGTGCAGATAGATGTTTAAATCTATCACCACATGGCTTGCAAGATGCACGAAGACATGAGGATGTGAGGATGCGAGGATGTGTGGCTTGGGAATCCGTCAGGATCCTCTCATGGATCTGAAGGAACCGAGCCCTCATCCTTACGAAGTACAAAGTAGAGGCGCCGCACTCAAAAGCTTCCCGAGAGCAATTGAACTTGAGAACGGTCATGCATATGCGCCCAGAATTCCATTCATCCTTCGTCCTGGTATTTCCAGGTCAAGCACTCAAACTTGAGAGCAACTGAGTGATGGAATTGCCGGCTTCACGCATGATGGACTATGCCTAGCTCAGACCCTGGCCAATACCGCCATGGTTCCCAATGAACGGGATACCCAGTCCAGTCCATACCCCGACGACTGTGACAGCTTTCTCGATACGGCTGACCAAGACGTGAGAGCCGGTGGCGGGACCGTCTCATTCATGATAAGCGAGTTAGCGCATACACTAATGCCACCGTGGAATCCCGACAGAAGGCTTCCGGAAGCAGGGTTGAGCCTGGATTGGGTTCTGTTACAGAGTATTTGTTTCGATCGGTAAGGCCCTGAACTTCTCGCATCAAAAAATTTTTTAACTATTTTTCATATACTGCATTTCATCGCCAAGACACTAAAAACCACCAAGATCAACTAGAAGGACAGACTATACCTCTTTTACCATAGTAAATATATATATAAAGTAGGTACTTCTATCCTTTTTTCTTATTAAAAAGTTATATAAAGTCTTCTATATATTATACTAGATAGGGGTTAATTTCTTACTTCTATTACCTAAAAAAATTAAGCTTTTATAGATTTTACTAAAAAATAAAAATATTTAAAAACTATAGTTTAAATTAAAATCTTTTTATCTAATAGTTTATATAGATAGTTTAGATAATCTATATCTATCTAATATCTATCTTTAAACTATATTTAATATCTATAATATATCTAGATATTATTAAAAATAATAATAATAAAGTTAAATATATTATCTAAAATCTTAATAGTTTTTAATTTACTTTTCTATATACTAATTATCTTTATTACTAATTTAATAGCTATTAGTTTTATGTTTTATTTTATATAAGTTATTTATAGTTTAATAGCTTTATTTACTAGTTTACTTATAATATAATAATCTATATTACTTATTATACTTCTCTATTATAAAAGATTATAATCTTCTTTTAGATATTAACTTATAATAAGCTTTAATAATATATAACTTTAAAATTTAAAATAATTTAAAATATAATATAAAATATATTTTATAAAGTCTTTTAAATATTATAAGACTTTATATTTAAATAAATTAAATTACTATATTTATTATATATATTACTAAAGATTAAATTTAATTTATAGCTTTATTAATTTAATAATTATATTAAAGTTATTAATAGTATTTATATACTAGCTTTTATTTTTTATAAATTTTAAAAATATTTTTAAAATTAGAAAAATATTTTATTATAAAATATTTTTACTATTATATAATTAGATAAATAAATAATATTTATTTTAGCTAAAATAAAAAGATTAATAAATAATATAATATTATTAATATATATTATAATAAAAAGCTTTTTAATATCTTTAAAAAAGTTTTATTTAATTAATTAAAATTTTAATTAAATAAAAAAGATTTTAATTTTATATTTATGATAAAAATATTATCTTTAAAATTAATATAAAATAATTAATTTTTTTATAATTTAAGAAGAATTATATAATTTTTACTATTTAAATATTTAAATTATTATTAAATAAGTTTTTAAATAAATAAAATAATAATAAAAAATTATTTAATTATTTATTTTTTAATATAGATTATTAACTTAAATATAAATTATATATATTTATATTATCTTATATAATTACTTTTTATTAAAAAGATAGTTTATAATTTAAATAAAAGCTAAAATTATTAAAGTAGTAAAAAAATAAGTAAATTATAAAATAATAAAATTAAATATATATTAATTAAAATATTAAATTACTTAATAAAATTAAAATTTATATTAGATATATCTTTAAAATTATATAGTTAAAATAATTAGATAAAACCTTTTAAAAAGAAATACTTCTTAAGATAAATTATATTTATTTAACCTTTTTATTTTTAAAATATAAAAAGATTTTTACTAGCTTAAAGCTATTAAAATAAGTAATAGCTTTAATATAAGTAGATAAATTAAGTTTATTTTTAAATAATATAAATAATTTATTAATAATAATAATAATAAATAAAGTATTTAGATCTATTATTTAAAAAAAT